GGTTGAAATAATAGAAAAGAATGGGTGCGATTGTCGCTGGCGTCTCCTCAGCACTCTGAATCAAGCCCCTTATGCAACATATATTAACAATTATTGCCATTTCTGTCCATTGCATTTGGTGGGTGGGGACCCACATCTGAGTTGACTCCAGGGTGACCGATCAAGTACTTTTCTTATTAAAAGGCTTGAAGTCGATCGTGCTCACGTCGATTTGTTTATTTTCCTCCTCTTTCTTGGCTCGCTGCCTGCTTCCTTCACCTGGGTCTCTGAAAGATATCTCTCCTTCGCCCACTTTCATATTGGCCCTGTTTTAATAGTACTAGTCTGTCTACATAATACCCGCCAACATGTTGCGGAGGTTTTCTACTCAATTCAAGAAGTCGAAGGACTCGAAAGCCGACGGTGAACCGAAGCAGAATGGCACCAAGGCCAGCAAGCGCCAGTCCAAGATGTTGTCGTCCTCGCCGCCTCCGACGCGCAAGTCTACAGAAGAGAACTGGGAGCGCAGCAAAAAAGGCGCCAACGAGGCCACCAACCCCTTTGAAAAATACTCCCAGGTGTTGCACGCTTCGAAAACCCCACTGCCTGGCCAGACTTCGGATGGCAGCAATGAGGATTCACCCGGGTTGATGGCGGATTTGAAGACCATGGGTCTTAAGGACATTGGCACATTGAAGGAGATGGTCTCGACCATGGCCAAGGGCGAGAAAATCCCCGACAAGACTATGCTCATGGAGCGCATTATCCAGGTGAGCTCCCGAAGTGAACACTATGCGCTCCGTCACCCTGGGACTAATATAGTGTCGCTTCTCTTTAGCTTGTTTCGAGTCTGCCTGCGCATTCCAAGGCCCGCTCCGAACTCACCAATCAATTTCTGGATCAACTTTGGGGATCGTTGCCACACCCGCCTCTCTCGTAAGTTGCCAATGGTTCTTGGGAGTGAGGCGTAACATACTGAGATGAATTGTGACAGTTATATGGGAGATGAGTATGCCTACCGCAGCGCAGACGGCTCTAACAACAACCCCACGCTTCCTTGGTTGGGTGCTGCCAACACGCCCTATGCTCGCTCAATCCAGCCGATGACGATTCAGCCCGGCGGCTTGCCGGACGCTGGTCTCATCTTCGATTGCCTTTTCGCCCGTGAGAAGTTCAAGCCAAACCCCAACAACGTTTCCAGTCTATTCTTCGATTGGGCTTCCTTAATCATCCACGGTAAGCCTCTGTTGGACCGACGACGGGCCCACGAGCCACTTTGCTGACGCTCGCAGATATCTTCCAAACCGACTACAGGGCCCCCCACATGAATAAGACGTCTGGCTATCTGGACCTCTCTATTCTTTATGGTGATGTGCAGAAGGAACAAGACCTCGTCCGAACCCACAAGGATGGCAAGCTGAAGCCCGATTCTTTCTCTGAGCCTCGTCTGCAAGCTTTCCCCGCTGCGTGCTGTGTTCTTCTGGTCATGCTCAATCGCTTCCACAACTACGTTGTTGAGCAACTGGCGGTGGTAAATGAAAATGGCCGCTTCAACAAGCCCGCTGCGCACCTTTCTGAAGAAGAAGCTCAAAAGGCTTGGGCCAAGTATGATGAAGACCTCTTCCAGACTGGGCGACTGTATGTATTTGGATATCCCTCACCACTCCACACGCTTTCTGACAGGAATCTAGTATCACTTGTGGTCTCTACATCAACATCACACTCTACGATTATCTCCGCACCATCGTCAACCTGAACAGAGTTAACAGCACCTGGTGCTTGGTACGTGAATCATCGGGTAAACAGACGCTAGTCGCAAGTTCTGACTATTAGTAGGACCCACGAGCTCAGATGGACGGCCATGACACCACCCCGTCGGGCTTGGGCAACCAATGCTCCGTAGAGTTCAACTTGGCCTACCGCTGGCACTCCGCCATTAGTGCCAACGACGAGAAGTATACCGAGGAGATCTACGAGGAGCTCATGGGCAAGCCCGCCGAGGAAATCTCTATTCCCGAGCTGCTGATGGGACTTGGAAAGTACGAGAAGGGCCTAAACCCGGACCCTTCCAAGCGCACTTTTGCCCGCCTTGAGCGCCAGGAGGATGGAACCTTCAAGGATGAGGAACTCGTCAACATTCTGTCCAACGCCGCTGAGGACGTCGCTGGTAAGTGCTTTCCCGTCACGACCGGATTAATGTGGGTTGGCGACTGACCCGTGGCAGGCTCGTTCGGCGCGAAGAACGTTCCCAAAGCTCTTCGGGCTATGGAGATCCTCGGTATTGAGCAGGGTCGCCGCTGGAACGTTGGCTCGCTCAACGAGTTCCGTAAGTTCTTCGACTTGAAGCCGTACGAATCGTTCGAGGAGATCAACTCCGACCCGGAGATCGCCGAGTCGCTCCGCAATCTCTACGACCATCCCGATTATGTTGAGTTGTACCCTGGTATTGTTTCCGAGGAAGCAAAGCCGCCAATGATTCCTGGTGTTGGCATTGCCCCCACCTACACCATCTCCCGTGCCGTCCTCTCGGACGCTGTGGCCCTTGTCCGTGGTGACCGTCACTACACGGTAAGTCGACCCTCTCGATGTTCTTGCTCGCAATATATGCCTAATGCCACTCAGATTGACTACAATCCTCGCAACTTAACCAACTGGGGTTACAACGAATCTCGCTACGACCTCAACATCAACCAAGGATGCGTTTTCTACAAGCTCGCCATGAGGGCCTTCCCGAACTGGTACAAGCCGGACTCCATCTATGCTCACTACCCCATGACGATCCCCAGTGAAAACAGAAAGATCATGCAGCACTTGGACCGAGAAAAAGAGTATTCATACGATCGTCCCAGCTTTACGCCGCCTCATGCTACGTTGGTGTCTTACCCCAACGTGAAGAAAGCCTTGGAGAACCCTACGGACTTCCGCGTTGTTTGGGGCGGCCTTACGTCGCTCACGTCCGGCGGAGGCGATGGTGATTTTTGGAGCAAGAACCTGGACAACGACCAGTGGAGGAAAAACATCAAGGACTTCTATGAAGCCATCACTGTCAAGTTGTTGCAGGATAATTCTGGCAGACTGGGTAGCATCAAGCAGGTTGACATTATTCGGGAGTAAGTGCGGTACTATCTTCTCTCTTTTCTCCAGAAACTGACTGTGCCAGTGTCGGCAACCTGGCCCCCGTGCACTTTGCCTCCAAGCTCTTTTCGCTTCCTCTGAAGGCGGGAGACAATTCTCGCGGTGTCTTTACCGAGCACGAGATGTTCAAGATCATGGCTGTTGTCTTCAACAGCGTTTTCTTTGACATCGACCCCCCCAAGTCTTTCCAGCTGCACAAAGCCGCCCAAGCAGTCTCCGAGCAGCTCGGTAGTATTATCGAGGGCCATGTCAAATCAATCAGCGCCCCCGGGTTCCTCTCGCGGTTTATCGACAGCTTCAACGATGGTCACAATGCCCTCAAGGAGTACGGTGACCAGCTGATCAAGAAGCTGTTGGACAGCGGCCTGGATGTCTCGGAAGTGACCTGGTCGCATGTCTTCCCCGCTGCTGTGGCCATGTCGCACAACCAGTCTCAGATGGTAGGAATCACTCTTGAGCTCCTAATTTCCGCTCGCTATATACTTTTATTCTGTACGGTACACAGCTGACACCTCCCAAAGTTCACCCAAATCATCGACTACTACCTCTCCGATGAGGGCAAGAAGCACCTCCCCGAGATCAACCGCTTATCCAAGGACGATAGCAAGGAGGCCGAAGAGAAGCTAATGCGCTACTGCCTGGAAGCCTTCCGCCTCAACGGAACCTTTGGCTCGTTCCGCGAGGCAGAGACAGACATGACCCTCAACGACGAGAGCGGCCAAATCAACATCAAAAAGGGCGAAAAAATCTTCGTTGGCGCCGTAAGTCCCCCCCCCTCCACTACCCTGCACAACCCGGCTTCTTCCTGTCAAACTAACCAATTCCCCTCGCTCCCCCTTTAGGTCAAAGCCAACCGTGACCCCAACGTGTTTCCCGACCCCAGCGAAGTCCGTCTGGACCGTCCCATGGACTCGTACATTCAGTACGGTCTCGGCCCGCACACCGGCCTAGGCAAGGAAGCCAGCTTGCTCGCCCTGACAGCCATGCTGCGCGTCGTCGGCCGTCTGCAGAACATCCGCCGCGCCCCTGGTCGCCAGGGTGTCTTCAAGAAGATCCCGCGCGAGGGCGGCTACTACCTGTATATGCGCGAGGACTGGGGCAGCTACTCGCCGTTTGCGACGAGTAAGTCTTCTTATTACTATGATTCAAACCACACTATATGACTAACGGGATCGTTCCAGCCTTCAAAATCCACTACGACGGCGAAATCCCCGCGCCCAAGAAGAAGATCGCTTCATAAAGATAAACCAACAAACCAACATGACGAGCGTTTACTCTTCTAAATGGTGATGGAACTGCTGGGCTAGAACTTACTGCTACTACTTGAGATATCCTGTTTGCTTATTTATGTCGTTGGGCTTTTTTACCTTTTGTTCTCTTTCCGCGTCGTTTGGATACCACCCACCAGGGGGCCAGATTGGGTAGTACATCTTCTTCGGTTGGTGGGTATTGATTGACTGATAGGTTAATATATAATTTGGTGCTAGCCATGTGTAGTGATAACGAATGATGTTTCTGGGTTTTATAGTGTTTTTGCATCGTGTTTCCTTATTCATCTTCATTCGTAGGCCCCCTTTGGCCCCCGGAGATTGCCATCTGTTCTGCCAATGTATGTCGTACTATCTTCTCGGATAACACAACTGAACACCCAGAAGTAGTGTATTTAAATACTCGCATGAAGGATATAAGACTTGAAATCTATTTACATCTGCTCAAGACCAATTAGTGAAATGGTTGTCCTTCAAGGTGGCTAGCCATGAAGACGACCTACGGAGTAGTATAGCAGGCAATACCTAAGGATATAATATTTTACATCCCTGAACTCCCTCATGCCTTGCAAAAACATCAGTGGCAAATATATGGCAAGCAATCAATAGTAATTATGGTATGTCATGTTATGGTATGGCTGTTTAAAACAAACAGTATCCCCTCCTTGACAGGTACCTAACAATACCACCCCCCAAAAAGAAAAAGACAAAAGACATAACTAAATTAAGTATTAATGCATCTCACTTCCTACCACACCACACCATACCATACCACACAGTTTACCCACCCAACGAAGAACAGGTCCTGCAGAGCAAGTCTCCAACGGATGTACCACCTGCGGGGCACACGCCCGACACAAGAAGGGCGAATCTCCCACGCAGGTGACATCGGAACTTTGATTTCCCTGCCCTGCACCCTCTCCTACTACACAAGCCAGGTTACCCTAGGTCATCGTCAAGGGGCAGCGGCAGTGTCACTGTTGCCTCGGAGCTCCTCCTGCGGCTGGCACGTCGACGCAGTAGTAGTACCCGGCTAGGAGGTTGGTGCAGTCGTTGCCAACGGCGGGGTTCCATTCCAAGAATTTGCTGACGGTTAGGTTGGGATATTGGGTGGTGATTCCGATGCAGGTGTCGCCTGAGACGGCTGCGTAGTACTTGGAGCAGGGAGCGGCGATGCCCGGTTGGGTTGGGGAGGGGGTGGTTGGGGGGTCTGCTGTAGGGGAAGTTAGAGTTTTCTTCTTTCCTTCCTACCCCGCTTTCTGCAAGGGCAGCAGATGCAAACAGAGAAAGGAGCATAAAGTAAGTAATTGAAGGGGGGTGGGGGCGCGTACGGGTGGGAGCTGGAGCTGTCCCGACGCAGACGTAATAGCCGGCTAGGAGAACTTGACAGTTGGTCCCGATGGCGGGGTTCCATTTGTAGAATTCGTTGAGGGTGAAGTTGTGGAAATGGGTTTGGATACCGATGCAGGTATCGCCGGTCTTCACCTGGTAAAAGGAATTGCAGTTTGACGCGACGCCGCTCTGGACTGGGATAGGGGCGCTAGCGACTGTTGCCGTGGCCATCTCCATTGTCGCGGCGTTGGAATCCTGCGACGAACGTGGTCTGGCGACAGCCGCGGCCTGTGCGAGGCCGAGCAGGAAAAGCCCTGCGGGTAGGATCTGGGAGAAAAGCATGGTGATGGTGGCGGTGGTTGATGAGTTTGCACGCGGTGATGGCTTGATTGGGGATACTGGAGCGGCGCCGTGGGGGCGTTTTATATGTTCGAAATTCTAGGATATCGCACAGCACCTACCTCCCTGCGAGGAGTATCAAATACCCAAACGGATGCTACCGGATCACCGTGTGATCATGACTGTGCTTGCTTGTCCTGGTTGGTATCCAACGGGAAGCAAATGCGGCCATGTCGGGAACGCACTCGTGTTCAGGCATCCAAGACGAACGAACATGCTCAAAAAACCCCACTCTCCATCGGCAACGAGACGGATGCCCATAATGACCCGGTAGTACAAGGATGCCAACGATGCTGGGAACCCCGACTTGGTCCAGATGGGAACGTTCATGACGGCATGTGATGCCTCCCATTTGAGGTATTTCCGAGTTGAGGAAGCCGATCCGTCCACTGGAGAGTAGTCTTCACTGCATATTGTCTCTGATTGAGAATCAATGTCTTAGAAATGGGAGATGTTTGACAACTGTGACGAGTCGTATGTTTCACTGTGACATGATATTGCATGTACTTGGCTGTACAGCTCTCGAACTACTGTGACAACCGTCCAATGGTCGTGACGCTTGGCGCATAGGGTGTATGCATGAAGAATCCGTACCAATCATACCCAGAGTCGGGTTGATGAGGTTCGGAAGAGCAAATTGACATCCTGGGGTGTGATTGAGGAGGAAAACCACAAATCAAAGAGATGGACGACGATAAAAATAGACGAAGTATACAATTACACCGCCCAATATTGCCGTGACTATCCCACCGCCTTGGAATGGTCTCCAAACATCCCCGTCATCATCGGAATTGAATCGCCCAGCAAGAAGGCATTCAATAGGCCAATTCAACATTCCAGCAAGATGCCCCCCAAAGCAGTCAAGGGCGAATACATCGAGACGGTACATTGACCAGGAAACATCCACCATACCAGAAACAAAAAAATGAAAAACAAAGCCAAACTAAACTAACCGACTCACCTACTACAGGACACGGGGAACAAAATCTCCCGCCGGTCCATGATCCACGGAACACAGCACATCATCCTAGGCGGCAAGACCGTTATTCAAGCCGAAGCCGTCATCCGCGGTGACCTCTACCGCGCGTCCTCATCGTCATCGTCGTCATCATCATCCGCCCCCGACGGCCAAGCATCAACTTCATCATCATCATCCGCGCATTCGCCCTCCGTCGCGATCTCCGTCGGCCGATACAGCTATATTTCGAAGCAGGCGATCCTGCGCCCGCCGTCGCGGTTGCACCGCGGGGTCCTTTCGTTCTTCCCGCTGAAAATCGGCGACCATGTGTTTGTTGGGGAGAGGGCGGTCGTGGAGGCGGCCACTGTTGGGAACCATGTGCATATCGGGCGGGACGCGGTCATTGGGAGCATGGCTATCTTGAAGGACTTTGCTTATGTGTTGGATGGGGCGATCGTGGCGCCTGGGATGGTCGTGCCTAGTTGGTGTGTCGTTGGTGGTGCGCCGGCGAGGATTGTCGGGGAGGTGGGTGAAGGGTATGGGGTTGAGGGGGCGGAGGGAGGCATGGCGCGAGAGAGGTATCGCCTGGTGGGGAGGGGGTGAAAGAGAGAGAGGGAGAGAAAGGTGATGATGGCTTTGGGCTTTGGATCTTAGGGCGTTCGATCATTTATGGTGCGTTTTTTGTTGTTTACCTGGGTTCTATCATACGCATTATACCCCCACCCTGGTCCCTTGTGTTTCTTGTCCATTGATGACTGCAATACGGCTTTTACGGCTTTGCTTCTCTTTTGATTTTTTATTTGTTCTTTTAAACCTGCCCCCCCCCCCCAAAAAAAAACTACCAATTGCTTTCATCTTCCGATTCTCGTACCGTCTCTTCCTGTAAGAAGTCGACCCTTACCCCGCCTTGGCTGGGTCAATCGTCCTCTTCATGAAACTATCCTGGGCGGTAAACGCCAGGTTTGCTTCCTCCCGCGCCATGTCTTGGATCCACCGCCCATTCGGTTTGACCTCCTCGGACTTGGTCATCTTCGACGCCAGATAGAACCAGTTCAGCGCATTACCGACGGTACTGACCTCGTCAAAGACATTCTCGCGTGCATACCGGGCCATCCGGTGGTACAGCTCGTCATCCGTACACAGATCATACAAGTGCTCCGCCACGGCTTCGGTATCACCCACGTCGACGAGGAAGCCGTTCTTCTCGTTGGTCACCTGCAAGGGAATACCACCGGCGCGAGTAGCGATCACCGGCTTCCCCTTGTGGAGGGCCTCCGAGACCTTGATCTCAAAGCCCTCGCGTGTGGACAGCTGCAGTGCAACCTTGGCCTTGGACATGAGCGCATTCAAAAGCTGATCTGACGGTCCCAGGCGCACGACGCAAATCTGTTTCATGAGGTAGGGCACGAATGTTTCGATATGGGCGACCGTGCTGTCGTAGACGATTGCACCGTCCGGATCGTCAACGGAGCCGTGGCCGCAAATGAGGAGCATAGGTGGCTTCCTAGTCGGGTGACTGGCTGCGAACTTGTTGTAGAACTTGTCGTACGAATCCACAACGTCGCTGATGCCTTTGGATGGATCGAACCGTGCGATCTGGACGATGTACTCGTCTGCAATGTGTCAGCCAATCCGGACGCGGAGTTCTCGCATTGTTGTTCGGGAGGCTCGGTCTTACCATCGGGAAAGTTGATGGTGGGCATGCCCGAGTTCCGGCAGACGGCGTTGAAATTGCGCCCGTAGAAGGCCACATCCCAATCATGCATGTGCTTGTTCAACCCGTCGAGCCTGTGGACTGTTAGCTCGCCGTGTCCCTAGCAGGTGGGGGGATGTCTGTGACCGCGATACATACCAGTCAGTAGATGCAGGCATGTAACCCACCTTCTCATCCGGCACGGTGTGCGGCACGAAGGCACGCACCGGATGGGCGAGGAACACATCCGCCGGCTGGATTTGACTCCAGAGAAATTTCCACGCGTCCGCTTGGGGGCTTCCCTCGGCACTAATCAGATCACTTCGAACCTGGATGTGACTGCGAAAGATGACAGGCCTATCCGGGGCCATCTTCTTCGCGAGAGGGATAAGAGCTGGCATTTGCGGATCGTCAATGATGATCACGTCGGCACCGCCCTTGGACGGATGAAGAAGAGGCCCATTTTCGCGCAGCCAGTACCGCTGCGCGTTCTCGTCAATCCAGTCCGTCACGATGTCGTGATCTCGTTTACTTAGGCGCTGATCGGGATCGGCGACGCCTTGGAGAATGTTGTGGTTGTTTTTGGTCACACGGAAGACCCCCGGGCGTGGCTTGGGAACGTACCTAATGGGGGTTAGGCCAGGAATCTCTCAAATAGTACCACCGTTACAGAGGAGATAGACTCACCAGTCAATACGAGTCCCGAGGTAATGGGAGAAGCGGACCAGGGCATGTCTCATCAGTGCCACACCGCCGCCCTGGGGGGTGGCGCTGAAGAAAGCAATCTTGACCTTCCTGTCTTTCAAGTCCTTGGCGTAATGCTGGACCGCAGCCCATGTGTTGGCCTCGACGGTCTTTTTGAAATCGTCCAGGTTCGCCAGTTTGACGTGGAATGCAGTGTCCACCTCCACCAAGCCTGCAAAACCGACTTGCAGCAGTGGCTGATTCTCCGGGCCGAAAACTCTTCGAGGAATTTAGTCTCTGCTTCACTGAAAGTGATTTATGCCATCATACCTGACGCATTTGCGGCCCATCGACTCCGCTTGTTCGTCCAAGGTCCGCGTAACCCAACCGTCCTTGCCGCCTGAGTGAGACAGGAAATGTTCCCAGCCATCTCTGTGGTCCTGTGGAAGGACGAGGGGAATGACGTCTATTTCAGCCCAGAGACGCGAGCAGAGCAAGGGGCATTCCTCGAACAGACGCCTCGGCATGGCACATCCAACCACCTTCTCCAAGTGCCTCTCGCTGAAACTGAACAGCTTCTTTACGATAAAGTCTGTGATCTGGTCGGATACCGTCTGCTTGTCGGCAGCTGGGACCTTGTGCTGCAGGAAGTCCAGGAGATATGTGGTATCGCGGATCGCGACAGCGACTGTGGCGCTCCCATCCTCGGATAAGTCTACTGACAGGCCGGCATAGATGGTCTAGAGAACAGAGAAGAGGGGTCAGATTAACCGGCCGGAGAAGGACCAAGATGACAAACATACAGAAGTTGGAGGCGCGTCCCATTGATGCTTGTGCAGGGGAGTCGATAGACGCCGATGCTGGTGCACCGAGGAACGGCGTCGAAAGATAGCTGGGTCAGCCATTTCTGGAGAATAATCAAGTCGACGAGATGGAATCTGGAAGGCACAACAATGCTACCTGATCGGGAAGAGAAAGCTTTATAGGACGAGAAGCACAATAGAGTGTACGCGAGCCACAGGTCCTACTGGTACTCTGGGTATTCCAGGATCGAAAACAGTACTACCCAAGTAGGAAGACAGAGCTATGGTACGAGTGTGGGAAAAAGGAAGGAGAGAAGGAAAGAAGAAGGGAAGTAGAAGAGGGGGAGGAGGCGAAACACAAAGGCACAAAGTGTTGTACGAGCAAGCATCCAAGTGACTTCACCACTCGGTCTCTGACGTTATCCGGCACCGCAACCGGTGATTCACTCTCCCGGGCCTTGGCTCAAAGAACCCGGTTTTCTTCAGCCAGTGACATTGGAACCCATTGAAAAGGAATCATTATTTGGAGAGTAGGTACCGAATTTCTGAACATTCCACCAATGTATCCGACAAGTTCGAGGGGAAGATCTACCCACATTCCGAACCAGATCGCGGCAATCTCCGCCCTCTGCCGGCCCCACGGTAGATCATTCCAACTCTAATCCAGGTCAATTATGCATCTCATATGCTGTACCTCATTGCCCTGTCCACAGATAGTGGTGGCTCAGCCTATGAGTAAAAGATTCCAGTCATGAATCGAATAAATCAATGATATAGTTAAACCGTTATATCAGCCAGGTTTTTGTCATACCTATCTGGGTTGCCGTTGCTTGGAGTGGCAACAAAAATGAACATTCACATCTTCGTCCATGCTTTGCGGCTGGTGCCTGGTATGTCTTGTTCCCTTGACCGCTGATGTCATAGAAAGGCAGGCTATCCTTGTACGGGATAAATCCCACTCCCCCGTGTCCCGATTCCGCCGCGAGACAAGGTGCTACACAGGATATGCAATCGATCGTTCCCTGGCTCAGGATATTGCACTTCAGAAGTAATATGAACATTGGGTGGCGGTGATGACCTGCCGTGCGTTCGTGTGAGGGATTTATACCCTTGTCTAGGGTTTGAGCCGTTGTATCTGCAACTCTCCATGATGGAGGTCGATACAATTTCAATTATCCCATACAGTCAGGACGAGTACTTTGACGGTCGCTGTCGCCTCGATATAGGTCATACCACGCTGGTGACTACGGGATGATCCGAAGTTATTATCTCTGTGGAGTTCAATACCACGAATGGCGTGATGGAGACGGCGAGGACAGTCTAATAGCAGAGGAAAGCATATCACCGACGATAGCAGGTTTCAACAACCGTCTTCTTCCACCTAATGACAGCATCATCCTCCATGGGCATGAAGGCCTCCTGGGGTCCAGCTCGTAGCATGATATACAGACGGCCCGCGACATTGCCGAGGGCTTACGCCAAAGTAATGTTCAACGGCAAGCAAGATGCGTTCGCTGGTCTGTGGTATTTTTCTTGGTGAGGACCTGCGATGTTGACTTTATTACAGATCATAGCAGTTGGGGAAACTGCGCGTCAGAGACACACTTAATGATCTGCGAGGCAGGTCGAGTCTCTTATCCTTAGTATATCGTCTGAGGAAGGAAAAGAACACCCCCCCCTCACACAGTACCTCTCCTACAGCACCGAGATCACCTGGGTTTCACTTTCACTGCGTGTGATATATATATTGACACTTCTTTACCAGTGACACTTATTAAGCGTGGAGTGTCTCCATCCGCGGGAGACTCCGGTGCATCTGATTGTTGATAGATCAAGGAGCAACATATATATCACGCACAGTGGGACCCCACGAGAGACGCTTCCCCGGAGGAACCTGTGGTGACGGTTATTTCGTGATGAAAGCCAGGGAAATTGGAGCCAGAGGAGCCGCTCGAAAGGTCTTCAACTCCATGGTGATGGAGGAATCGACGCAGGGACCAGGCCATTCAGGCCATGAAACCCCCGAATTGCTTGGCCGGGCTGAGTCAGCGGCATCAACCCCTTTTACGGATCTTTCAGAGCGCCCAAAAAACCCACCCTGGAGACTGCGCGATCCATTATTTACTCCATCAATTGTTTGACTGTCCTTAATTTAATTTTTGCTTTCTGGTCTGTTTCCCTTTATTTTATTGCTGTAATTTCATTAGTCCTGCTCCAAAGTCCCTCGTGTGGATTGCCCCTCGCTTTGGAACACCGAGTTTTTAATTTAATTAAACTAAATTAATTAATCGATCGGGGTTGGTTTACTTGCGCTCCTGGCACGTCCTCCTCCGCCTCCTGCCACACTGGTGAAGCACACCAACAATTCCCCTCTGCGCTGTCTTGTCTCTGTTGTAAGTAGATGCATCTCTTGATTGGGTTTTTCTTCCTTTCTGTGTGCAGTTCTGATCAGAACGTTGGCTGATTGTTGTTGCGCGAACTACCAGCTGGAGCATTTGTGCCTGCGTCTTGATTCCGGACTCTCCCCCCTCCTCAACCCCCTTCTCGAGTCCACCGTTCTATCGGATCGTCACATCCCCTCTTCTATTTCCCTCGGACGCAACGCTGATCGCGACTGGTCAAAAAGTCTCCCGCGACTCTCGTCTGCAGTTTTGGACCTGTCCCTCTTCATCCTTCATACCTCGTCGGCTCTGTTGTCTTGTTCGCGACTTTCGTCAGGCGCTCAACCGTCATAATGGGTGGTCAAGTGTCTAAGATTATGGGGAAGATCTTCGGAACCAAGGAAATGCGGATTCTGATGTTGGGACTCGATGCTGCAGGAAAGACCAGTAAGTTGGCCGTGTCCCTCTTGCAGGACTCATTGCCTCCCCCTTACTCTCGGAAGAAGGAAGCGGCTGACCTGGTATCACGATAGCGATTCTCTATAAACTTAAACTCACAAACCAGGATGTCACCACCATCCCCACCGTTGGCTTCAACGTCGAGAGTGTCACCTATAAGAACGTCAAGTTCAACGTGTGGGATGTCGGTGGTCAGGACAAGATTCGGCCGCTGTGGAGACACTACTACTCCGGTAAGACCCCATTGCATGCGTCGTCGGGGATTCGTGGGACTAACGATGGTTGGCATATGCAGGTACCCAAGGGTTGATCTTCGTCGTCGATTCCAGCGACACCGCTCGTATAGAGGAGGCTCGCTCCGAACTGCACAAGATCATCAACGATCGCGAAATGAAGGATGCCCTTCTGTTGGTGTTTGCGAACAAGCAGGATGTTCAAGGCCGTACGTATTCGCAACTCACTGTTGAGAGCCAGCACTTTTGCAATGATGCGACTAACCGTCTCTTTTGCAGACTTGAGCCCTGAAGAGGTTACCAGTGCGCTGCAGCTCAACAAGCTTAAGGACAAGCTGTGGTACGTGGCGCCCAGTGTTGCTACCGACGGTACCGGTATCTTTGAGGGATTGGTAAGTTTCTTTCCCCGGTCATGATTTTCATTTCAGGGTTGACTCGCTTTAGGCTTGGCTCTCGAACAACGTCAAGACGCCACCCCAGAAATAAGCCATCTCTCCATACACACTCGTTCCCGACCGACCAAACGACCTTACTACAGGCCTCATCCCAGCTCCGACGCGGCCTTGTGTATAACACCCTATCTTGGAACCAACCGACCTCATTCGTTTCATGTCCGGTTTGATGACAGAAGACGCAGTATTAAAACCTGTGTCTCGACCACCTTGACGCCCTCTTTTTTCTTTCTTTTTCTTTTTTTTTCCTTTTTTTTTACCTTATCTTTTCTTTTTCTCTTCTCTTTCAGCTTCGATTAGCTTCTGATGATATCCCCCTTGTTTCCACACGGGCTTATATGTCAATACCCCCCTGAATATCTAATTAATACCTGCCTTTTCTTGTCACACTCTTGCCCCCCCTGATCCGGGCACTATCTCATTTCCGTTGTCATTTTCTTCCGCTGTAGAAAGATCCAAATAGAAGGAAAATGGAACCCGCACATATACAGATACAAAGAAAATCACCCCCAGCACACTCAAGCACCCGCCTGTCTTGCGCGTTGGCAATGACTGACTGGGTTGATTTGGCAGCTTTGCACAGATAGACAGCTTCGATAATATTAATTCTATCATTTATCCATTCTCCTTTGGGGTAATTGCTTTAAGAGTAGATGTGGACGAAGATTGTGTCAGCTGTTCCATGCGCGATGATAGTGATGTGTAACCGGTGGTAGCAACTGACAGGGGCCAAGGATAAGCAGATAGGCCTCGTCATCTAGGCTGCTATCTTTTTATAGGGTCCTTATAGTCCATACATTATGTTATAATATTGGCTTTGTCTACTGTATCCTATGATCATCGCGATTTCATGCCATTCATTGTTATAAGTAGAATAGGACACGGAAACAACTGCTTCCCCGCCGGGTCTGCGGCATCGAGGTCCATTGACCTTGATTTAGTCCATTTTTTACCTCACAACTGGCCCGGCCAGATATCGTCGGCAATTTCACGCACAAGCTTCAATTTGTTGATCATACCGGCGTAGTCAATGGCATTACCATCGCGGTGGCTAGCAAAACCACACTGCGGACTGACACCGATCTGGTCCAGAGCCTGCTCGACGGAGATATTGTTTCCCTCGGCAATGAATCTAGCCGCTTCGTAGACGCGCGCCTTCATCTCCTGCTTGTCTTCCAGCGCGGGGAACTTGCTAGTCACTACGCCCAGGATGACGTTCTTGTGTGTGGGCAGCTCCTTGAGGGGTTCGAAGCCGCCTGCGCGCGCAGTATCGTACTCGAGGTAGTAGGTGTCGACGTTGAGCTCTTGGAAGAGTCTGGCTGCGATGCGGTCGTAGCTGCCTTCGGAGAAGTGGCGGCTGCCGACGAAGTTGCCGCGGCAGAGGTGCACGCCGATGTGGAGATCGGTGGGACGCTGGGAGAGGAGGTCGTTGTAGAGCTTGATGTAGTTGGCGAATACTTCGTCCGCTGGGTGGATGTTCAGTGGGTCCTTCTTCCAGCCGTCGAGCATCTTTTCGGAGCAGAAGTCTGTTGATTGTGTTAGTTGCTGTCTTGCGATACGGAGGGTGTTCAGTGAATGATGAGAATGCGCTCACAGGCAAGATTGGGGTCGTCAAACTGGACGTTTCGGCACCCGGCATCGTACAATATCCGCAATTCGTCCTGATAGGCCTTGGCAATGTCTGCAAAGTACGCCTCGTCCGAGGCATATACATCCTTGGGATAAGCGTAGCCTGCCTTATACCGTAGGTGGTACCAGTTGGGGGCGGCCAGGGTGACTTTCAGGTTTTTTACCTCTTCGGCAGAAACCAGGCTGGCGAGGTACTTGAACTGGTCGACATAGGTGCTTCCCACGTGCTTGATCTTGCCGGTGCAGAGGACGCTTTCACCGGGCTTTTTCCCGGCCTCTAGGAAGGCCGCAACGTCCGGAGCATACTCACGGAATACCGTCGGGTCGATGTCGTGGACCTCCTCAAACCCATCTAGACCGGGAAAGAATGAGCCCCAGAACACTAGACAAGTTCAAGTATACGTCAGTTATCGTACTCTTGGTGGTCTCGCAGTGTCGACGGCGGTGGCGTTCTTACTATGTCTGCAATACTCGCCATCAGAGGCCGCGGGATAGCCAAGCTCCTTCTGCTTACTGACAATGGTCTTGATGTCCTTCTTTTCGACGGCAATAAGGTCTGACTGTGGAGCTTCACCCTTCTCAAAGGCTGTCTTGGTGTTGAGAAGTTCTTTCGTTCGCAGCAGCGAGCCCAAATGCTCAGCGCGGAAAGGAGGGCTGCGGTACAACTTTCGAGTCATGATGAGGATGGAGCGGATATTCAATTGCAGAAAGTGTTGTCGGTACTAAGAATCCTAATCGGGGTACCGAGACCGTGTGTAATTCATACGTGCAAGGCTGAGCGGGGACTACCAGAAGGAACATGGGACACATGGGCCGCATGGATCGATGGAGGGACAACAAAGCACTGACCCAAGAAGGCCTTTACATCTAGACGGTTTGAAGCCCCACATCGCTTCCTTTCGTGTTGGCCTCGAAGCTGAACCTCACCACTCCATCACATCGCCAATAGCATTGCCTACAGACGAATTGTAGGTTGTGTGTTGTGTAATGAAAGCCGCCAATCCAGCAAGTGAGAGCCCATGTTGCAAGAGCCAGCTGGAAGCACGAGCCTCTATCGGCGTGCTGGGGGGTTGATAGTCTCGCTCAATCCGTGAGCACTGAGGAAGACAAGTTTCCCCACTCTGCTCGAGCTCGAATGACACGATCCAATGGTAAACACCAGGATTCGACGTTCCTCTATCCTCTCTCGGCACTAGAGTCATTGTAGATAACCGTTGGGCCAAGCCATCAAAAGTGGCCCCACTGCCAAGCATCGTTGACGACATTTCCGTATCCAAAACTCCCCAAGTCGACGATCGCCTGTCACGTGAGTGGGGAGCACCGGCAATTGGGCGCTGACCCCGGACCCGAACTCCAGTTGGTCAACCTTACTCCATTCGACCTTTCTATCATCTTCATTATCCTGCAATTCGCCATCAACCTCGTTGTGGCGTTTCTCTGCACATCCTACACACGTGGGATTCGGTCCGTAATGTGACCGTCGCACTAATCTGCTCTTCTCTCAGGCGACCCCCGCAATTTCCGACAATGCCGCGGCAACTATCGGCCTTGGAGTCTCTTCCCAGCGAGCTTCTCGATGAGATCATCTTCTACCTCTCTGTTTCTCCTCCGTCCTTGGCCAACTTTCACCAGCCACCGAACCCTCGGATGGTCAGAAATGGAACTCGAGATCTAAAAAACCTGGCCAGGGTTTCGTTGCGCCTTCGGGAGGTCGCTCTACCACCGCTTTTCGCGCACGCTTGCTTCAACCTGGAGGACGTAGACGATTTCCTCGCATTCGTCGCATCCTTTGACCTCAAGCAATATGTGTCTTCTATTGTCGTGAAGGGAAAAGACACCCCAGGCGAACGCGATGATCCTCTCTGGTGGCGGAGGGTCCTGTCCCGCCTCGACCCGCTCCGGGTGACGGTCATTGCTCCCCCGCGCTTTATCGGTGCTATGCTGGACACGCCTATCATGGAGGGACATAGCTGGGCCTTTGAAGTTCCTCTCCAGGTCCTGCAGCTAGAGCGTGACAGTCGCGAGCGGGACCCGATGCTGTCATCTCAGATTGAAGAGCCTTCGAGTCTGCTGGACACTCGTTCCTGGTCGTCCCTCTCGTTCAACGAGTCTTCTTCTCTCAAGGCGTACAACCACTATGAGTATTTCTTGTTCCAGGTCCCGTCCCTGGTCAGGGAATGGGGCTCCACCGCAGCCACTCCGTCCTGTCCGGAGCAGCTCTTTCTATCCCTCTCGCTCAACAACCTGACCTCCTTTCAGTATACCGCCGTATTTCCCTTCTACAATCATGTCAAGCTGGTGTTAAATGCAGTGTCATTGATGACGAGCCTGCAGTCGCTTCGGATCCAGTTGGCGCCCTGCCGCGGCGACAAAATCATCGAGATCGAGCAGAGAGGCTCTATGGACCCAAGCGACCCATGGATGGAGCTTGCCACCGGCTACTCGCTCATTGCTCAGGCTGTGAGTGATTTGGCAGACGTAGGTCGTCTCGTAACCTTCAGTTCTGGCGACTACGATTTTGATGCCCTTCGGTCCGAGCTCGCCCCGATCTTGTACGATGTGTTGAATGACCATGAGTGGCTCCATGATGGACACGGTACCTGGGTCAAAAAGAAAGTTTCCCCAATGGGCGTCGCAACCGAGTCAATATCCACGGTAGATACGGTTGTATGAGGCCGGTGACTGGATTCGCCGTATCAAAATAAACATGTATTACTATAAGGATGTAGATAATTGAAAAATCATGGGGCTAGTTTCGCCGATATAGTGCTGCTGTAAAGCTACGGAATAGCCGTGCACGAAGACAACGGGTCCTGCCTTATCCGTAAGGCGCCCGCACGTGGCGCGTCTATCAGTCCCGGTTCCAGTATTTGAACCCACCATCTACTCTGAAATTAACCTTCATAACCACCAAACACCATAAAATTGCGGATCTGGGGATCAGGGTATCTCTAGTGCTGTTTTCTTGGAGAATTGGAGGATAGAGAACCAATGTCTCAATCCACCAGATAACCATGCGACGCGCAACGGCCGCGCCCGAATTACTTCTTATCATATGCCAAACAGCATGACCCTGTTTCTATACCTCTCTCAGTCTTGCATATGATAAGCACCATGCATTCCACAACCAACGCGTATGCGTCGGAGCCAGCCGTCCCGCTTCTGGCTCATTCACTACTCCAACACGATGTCGCGACGGCGGAAGATCCACCGAACACCGAGTCCGCGCCAACAAACCCCAGCCTTTCAAACCCGGACTGGAATCTTGAACACGACATCAGAAACGGAGTTGAGTATCCGCCAATGGGTATATTCGGCCCTGGGACCGTCATCGGCTTCTCATTCATGAGGAATGACTCCAAGGAGGGCGATGACCTCGACCACATAGGACAGGTATGAAAGTCCCATATCGGACTTCAGAATCAAACCCGTATCTTCAAAGGCCGGCCATTAATCTATTGTGTGCAGATTCCTCGATATCTCTTAGCAGCGCGCTTGCGGCAATCGGCCCAATGTCCTAATACTAACCCCAGCGCATTCATTATCTACCCGGCACACTTTGACGCCTTCTCGCCGGAGAAACTCCTAGAATCGCTCCTCTCCGCGTCGCAGTCACCCACCCTCTCCCGCTCAGATGCAATCTCCCGCCTCGACTCCGTCCAGCTAATTCCAGTCTTCGACTTTTCCGCCGCCTCGCAAGCCCTCCACCAAATCGAGGATAGCCTCTCACTTCAGCAGCCAGATCAAAATGTCACACTCATAATTGCCGGACTCGACAGCCTCACCGAAGGCGTCATCCGCGCCTCAAACGCAGTCCGCGGAGCCGCCGTTTTAACCAGCGTGATGCGAACGCTGACGCAGCTGTCTCGAACGCACAGCATGCACCTGTCTATCGTGCTGGTCAACACCGGCGGCCTTGGCCAGCTAGCTCCATCCTACAACCCCAGACCTTCAACTGATGACAGCCAACACCATCCCGCCGCAGACGATGGTAGCATTCATTCAATCTTTCGGGCGTCTGGGGCGCCGCTGTTTCCTAACCTACTAGCGAAAACACTCGATCACGGGATCGATACTCACCTTTTGCTGTCGGTTGTGCGGGGTCAGGCCTGCGTGGTGGAGGTCATTAAAGACCGGGTGGGTGATGGGGTTGGTAAATGGTGTGTTTGGAGGGGGCAGCCATTCTAGATGAAGCGTACGATGTGCACAAGCATACCAGGCGAACGAACCTGCTGTTCAACGAATCATGAATATCTTCTAATATTTCATGGCTAGTCGGACAGGTGGATCATTTGGAGGAATATTCCCACGGGTGCAAATTGTCCAGCGTATTGTGCCCGTGACGGCACGGATATTTTTACCAACCATTTCTAGGCTCCAAAGCTTTCACTGAACACCCAGGGCTCTTGAACTATACGTGCAGCATGGAGTGCATCATTTCAAATCACAAAAATACCAAATAACCACAATCACTGTTCAACTAAATGCCTATAGATGGCCTTATCTAATTTTTATCATGCGCGGGGAAGCACCCTGAAAAATCGACGGCCGATGCGCACAGAAGTACCCTATACGACGAAACCCGCCGTCCCCCTCAAGCGGCAACAGCATCAAGCCTTCCACGTTCTCCTGGTGCAAGACCTGAGCGACAGCGAGGCACTGAATCCGCACATCAGACAAGAGCGGGGCATCTAAAGGATCGGTCACGCCGTACGCAACAACTTCGCGGTCGTCGACCATCCCGCTCGTATCATCACTTTCCTGCAAGAGAGCGAGATCCGCATCTTCGACTCTATCCGGTCTGAATACACGTCTGAACCCTAAGTCGACAAGAATGCCCTTCAGGTCCAGAACACCTGATCTCACGGATCCGAACGGACCCGCTCCCCCGGCTTCAATCTGACAATCAAGCACCTCAAATCCAGGAAACGGACTGCGCGCGTGAGGCTCATATATGGAGTAGATCCACCCCTCGGCAACGCTGGCCCAGCTCCAGCTAGGCGCTACACTCTGCGCCGCAGCAGCAGCAGCGGACTTGAGGAGCGGATAATCAGAAGCTTCGACTTCCACAACATGCTTAGCGGGATTACAGCGCCAGAGGAGGTCGTCAACCAGATATTCCTTCCACAGCCCGCCGAGATACGTCCAGCCTGTCATCTGCGCGATCTCAGACGCCACAGCCGAAAAGGCGTTCAACTTGTCACTGGAGAAGGTGAGCGCCCTGGCGCAGTATTCTTCGCGAAGATTCAGCCAGCGGGAATAGAGCTCGCTGCGGCCGTTCTTGTACCTGCTGGCTCGCTTGCACAGGGAGAGAAAGTCTGTGTCGAAGATTGGGCTCGCGCCGAGGTACGTGATGACGCACTCGGTGCATTCCCATGAGACGCCGTCGCTCGCGAAAAATAACCGGCGAGGCGACATGGTGGACTCCTGGAGGGTCCAGGCTCTAAGCAAAATGGGCTCGTTCTGGAAGGCTTGCGCTTGCATCGATGTGTCCCCTACGAAGAAGGATACTCCGCGCCTCTCGTCTGCGTCGATCGGACCTACTTGCACAGGGGTGAAGCGGTCGTGCAGCCCTTGCGGGGGGAGCAGGAATCCCTTGTCTGCGCTGGTGGCGCTTGCCACGATAATTGTCAGAGCCCCCTGCCGGTAAATGCTGGCCATTTGGGGTAGTTCCGCCGCTAGGTCATCCGGCGAGTCCTGGATGATGCAGAGGGCGTCGATCCAGATGTACCGGAAACCCAGCCGGGCCGTCACCTCCATCGCGTCTCTCAGAGTATTTGGCAGACGGGCTAGGTCTAAGCCCCGGCGCAGCTGTTCATGACTTGAATTTTTGAGAGTGTACGTTTGCGCGGGGCCCCAGACGTAGCTGAGGACGACGTACACGTCGTCGGGTGCTGCGATCTCGTCGCGGTTGATGAGCCGTGGGGAGTGTGGATTGGTTACATCGATGAGTCGACTGGGGTGGAAGCCTCCGGCGGGTCGGCATTGGCGGTGGCTGCTGCATGATTCGAGCCAGTCTAGCGCTGAGGTCGCCCAGTCATCCGAGTCCGCAGATATGCGGCCCCAGTTTCGTTGGAAGACTTGCGACTGGGGATCTGTTTACATTATCAGCTGTGGTGTGTGTCAGGGGCCATAGCGAGGATGATTACCGGTGGAAGAAACCTGAAAGGTTAGAAAGATCGTATCTGGGCCGCCTATCTCAGGGAGTCGACAATCTTCACCCTGGGTGCCTGTCACTTCGATCTGTATCTCAACTTCATCAAACGTCGCCATGCCACGATGTTTCCGAAACCGGACGATAATGGAAACCCCCGCATCGCATTTGAGATTCGAGAGCGGAAACCGACAACATGCCGGATCAGTCACCTCATCCTCACTGTCTTCGAAGACGAGGAAATCCGCCACGTGTCGAATGCCGAGGGCTATGGATGAGCACCACGGACATCCTTCTTGAGCAGACACGTAGAGATCACGGCTCGTCCGGGCGTAAGCTATTGCTGCCGTTGACGAGCTTGTCTTAGCGGACAGCTGGTCGTACAATTCTTGGTTGAAGATGTAGTCCGCGCAATAAGTGCATGTCTGCCCTGCGGTGACCTTGTACGGCAGACGGCGGTCTCTGCGCTGCCCGATACCCCAACGGATGCTCATGGTGATGATTCTCGGAGATTGTCAATTGTTTTGTATCCAGTACGTTTTGAGGATGTCGTCAATGTCAGGCAGTTTAATCCTTCTTACCCCGCTTTGTGGCGTAGGTCAGGATTGTCAGATGTGGGATAGTGGAGGCCAAGCCAATGCCACGAAGCAATTAGGGGCGGCTGATATAGTGGCTTATACTAATTCATGATATGTGAGCCTGACTCGGTGGCAGTCTAGGAGGTAGTTTCTTAACGTCACTGATATATTTATCATTTTTGTAGCCTTGATATATTTTACTTACTGGACAAACATGAACTATCTACTGTCGCTGAGATGGTGCAACTATCTCAAGTATTTGAAATTTGTCGCAATATATATAGTCACTTGCGAAGCGCAATATTGTGTCATGATATTTCTTGTAACCGAGTGGGAATTCTTTTTAATTCTTTTCCGCGAGATTATACGCAGAGCACAAAGATGAGCCTGGGTGTCTTACTCTCTATATATATGGAGCAAGATCTTGATGCACTTAATCTTGATAATAGTAAGAACAGTATGAGTAGCGGAGGTCCTTTTCGGTACAGATCAGGAAGACTAGTATAGGCCATCTATAGCGCCTTTCTGTCTCCAATGGCCTTTACTCACACCAAACTTAATCTTTTTGGTACGCATCCTTCAGGTCCGCACCGTGATCGTTCGAGAGAACCTTGCCGCTTATACGTCGGCAGCCGGTTCAATGCGCATCGATGATAGTCGATGATTAGGCCCAGTTCGAGTTCAGTATTCCACAATCTCTGTATTGTCAGGCGGAATTCCAAAGCTAACGACAGAAGCACAAAGCCCTGTTCATGGTCATCGGGTCGTTGGATGGCACCCAAAGGTGCAAGCTATAAGCCTGATTGTGGTATGACAGCCACTGCGCCGAAACAAAGTCAGGATTGTTATGACGGGTATCCCGAGTTGACATAAGAGTTCTTGACACCTTCTTGAATCATTGCATGGAATTCCCGAACGGCGCAGACCCGCTATTTGCATAGCATTATATCTCCGCTTTTCCAATTTATCTGTTGGTATGGTATTCGGGCTGACGACTTTCTGCAAGAAAACCATTGGCCGTAGAAATCCTGCACTTGTAATTTCCACTGGGGGCTTATGGGGTGTCTTGTACACCATCACAGACTCGAGGTATTCGATCGCGGTAAACAGGATGGATTCAGAAATGGCTAGGCCTAGACCAACTCAGAGAGTTTAATTTTATCCAGTGCATTAGCATGGTTGTCAAGGCACGCACCATCTCCAAGCGCAAACTCTTTTGCGCCGCGAATATCTTACATAGTTCTGAGATGGTGTCGCGCACATGTTCCTGAACAGCAAACCACTCGTAGCGTTCGAGATCCTTCTCGCTACGGCTCGGACGCTGTCCAGTTCGCCGATCAATCCTTCTGATTCAGCCAAGGATGGAACTAACCGCGGTGTATCCTTTCCAAATTGTAGGTAGGGGCCCACCGAGGTATGAAATTCTCGTTATCTTGTGATAGCCACTGCACCAAAGTACCGAATCGGTATTTTGGTCAAGCTTGGTAGGACTGATACCCCAGAATCTCCTCCAATCGAAGTCTTCCAGGGGTGTAATTTTATTGGGCAGTATTTCCCTGCAGGAAGGGTGATGACCCCTATTGTGCCGCAAAAAAGGACTTCAACTCATATTAGCCGCTAGAGAAGATTGTGGTAATCCCAAATGAGCTCTTCAAAAGACTTATGTCAAGTGCGCTCCTCTGTCTGTTCTTTTATCTCGTCCATATTGAGAAAACGAGCTAGTCTGGGGAGATGCATTCACTCATTGTTGGGCGAGAGAGGATGGGAGGAGATTCGAGGACCGGGGTGTTGGTGCTTTTTTCGCAATGACGATGTTTAGTGGGGTACCTATCTCAAGACTTCAGATTGTGCATAGCCATAAAATGAGTCTAGATATATTGCTCTGTATATGTAATAGACTGATGTCAAAAGCTACAAGGGGTTATATGTGATTGTATAATGGTTGCTGCTGGTTTTGATATGATTATAGATGATTATAGAGTACATGTCACTATAACTGTAAAGATAACTCGATAAATCGTGAGGCTATTCATTTGCAGCGATTCACAGTTTATTATAGTGACATGATTCTCTTTTCACTGTCTGATATCTATATTAACTAGGGAGTAGTTCTGAAGTATGATCTTTCTATCACTTCATCATTCACTATGTAGATAATATCCAGACTTTGATCATATACTAACCATTTAGTTATAATACAGGATACCCTATAATTAGAGATAAATTCGCTTATAATTCAGTAGAGAAATTTCCATCTACTCCAATAGTAATATATGATAATATTGCCTAGTGAAATTCATTGGTCAAGTAGTTAGCTGGTTTAGTTCGTTAGGTACCTAAAATAATACCAAGATAGGTAGACCTAGACAGAACCGGCCCATGGTCGGCCCCATTTCCATGCAAATGCCATCATGTTGATCTTGTCAAATGGGTACATGGAAGGTGCCCGGGTCTGGTTTTTGGTCTTCGACCTTGAACAAGAACCCGTTTGCGGGTTCTACGGATGACCAATCCGGTGAAGCTGGATACAATATGCAACCCGTCGGCCTGTTACTTGTGAATAGTTAGATGGCTGGTGCCCCTCTTTCTATTAGGTATTTTCATCAATATTCTATCCCAAGGATAATGCTTCAATATCCAGCCTCCTCCTCATCTTCTTTGGTGTTTAAAACGAGATACTCAGAAGGTTATTGTGGCACCCAGCCAAAACGGGCTTGTAGCCGATTGCCTGATTATACCAGATACTATGGCATCCTCAATACTTGAGTTGTGGGTCCCAAAAGACTTCGCAAATGAAGGGAAGATTTATCTGCTTCCCGCAAATCACAGGGGCGATATGTACCATATCCGCGCTGCCATGCTCTTGGAGCCGCATAATCTTCTTGTTTATGCCTGTTCCGATAAGACGAAGGACCTCACGACATACCTCACGAGATCTGTTGCTTCCGAAAACAAGATGTTTCTGACTGAATGGTCTTGGGAAATGCTCAGTGGAAGTAAAGATCCCGGAGGTACCGAACACGAGAAACGGAAATTCGAAGTGATCAGTGAATCAGACGCAACTACAATCATCAGAGGAAAAATAGGCTCGGACAAAGATGCGAAAGATTTAGCAGAGAAAATGATAATAATTGATCAAACGCACAAAGAGGAGATACGGCGGTACTTGGAAGGTCTATGCGAAAAGCTTTTCGAAACGGGCTCCGGAGCAGTCCTCATACAGTGTCGCGACACCGGCACGAAAGGGGGGATATACCCAGAACTCGATTCCGGAATTGACTCGGTTAAACAAATAGCTCAATATGTGGGAATGGTCTCCCAAACGCTGAAAGTCATGCTCTGTGGAAACACCGAAAAGATCGACGATCTTGCTGGAATTGGGGAATATTTCAAGCAAATAGAATCCAGCAAATGGCCGAGTGAGAGCAGCAGAGATATTGAAGCATTTTTCCTCCAGATAGCATTCGAAAAGAAATGCTTCACCATGGTCATTGGCTTTCGCAGTGGCGGGTTGGACCTTTTCTCCTTCCTTGGAGTACCGTCTGTTTCAATCAGCGCTCGACAGATGGTGGGGGAGCATCGACATGGAGAAATTGCACTGAATAAACACCTCCAGCGATGGAACATACAGTACGAACTCCCACGACACGTCACTACGAGATACTTCGGATCCAAACGTGACCTTCTCGGCTCACCCTGGTGGGAGTTTGACAAGTCAAAGAATCCTACACGCGCGGACAAAGACAAGCAGAGCATCCTGCCAACCGGTTTCCACAAATATGACAGTGAGATTGTCAGAATTGGCATCTATAACGCTATCATCGTCTTCCTGAAGTATCCCAAGGTCCCAACCATAAAGCCGGTTATCCAGAGCCGTGTGTTTTATAACTCAAAGTGTCGGCCCTGTTACTACAGCGACACGAAGAAAGAGAGTCTTCGTGACTTCTTCGACGGCCAGAGACAAAAGGAAGAGGATGATTTTACAACGAGAAAAAACGACATTGACAATAGGGGAGAGGACAAAGCCGACTTTGAGAAATGGGAAAAAGTCATGCGTAAAGATTGGGAACGTATTCTTAACAAGCCCTAGTCTCTGGTGAAAAGGAATACCGCTCGTTGAAAAAGATATCTGGGCACTGTTGGACTCCGTGGGTACCCTTCTATAACATCTCATATTGCGAAATCTCTTGTGTCTACTGATCAGCTTTCATGGACGTGGGGTGCGGGCTACAGTAATCTACTAACATAAGATATATAGTTGCTAAGCAATGTCATGTCTCTATCCACCGTCATTCTTCTTCTTTCTTCATTCGTTTTATCATTTTCAATCGCAATTCTTGATCAATAATGATTTCAGGCTGGGAATTTGCAACTTGGTCAACCTGCAGACATATAGAACGCAGAAAGTAGCCGGGTCTGACGAGCTGGCACCCATCCACCATCTGTAACTGTATTGTGTAGTATTCTTCCGGCTTTTTCACCCCAGAAGACTCTACCCTATATGATCGGATCATCCCGGTACAACTGATGCAATATTCGAAAGATTCCTTGTTCTCACCCCCATGAATTGGGATCTGCCAGTAAAACCGACTACCCCATCCTGACTACCTAGCATTGCATGTGATATTGGGACATACTTCACCGAGCAAGCCCCTGAGTGCCCTCACTAAGCCCGGGGGATCAGGAAATCCCGACATTGTAGAAAAGCAGGTACGTACGGATAGTAATATGTACACTTAGTAGATCCCAATTTGCACCATAAAATATGATCATTAAGTCTTAAAATACATGTATTATCTTCTTCATCAAAAAAAATATATATATGTTTAATTATTATCACCTGGATTATCATAATGACATGACGGTGCATGGTAGATTAATCACCGGTGACTGTATATACCACCGCCAACGGCAAAAGTAATATGATATAATAGAATAAGAACAAGAAAGAAAGAAAGATAGTCACACAGAGAGAACAAAATTATTTAGCATCCGCGATAATCACCTCCGCGGCCTTCTCACTGATCATATAGATCGGCAAAGCGATATACCAGCCCGGAATCTTGGGGAAAGCAGACGCATCGACAACACGCAGACCGTCAACGCCGCGCACACGGAAATCCCCGTCCAGCACAGCGTTGGGATCCTCGTCGTCTCCGATGGCGGCGGTGCAGCAAGCATGGTGGCCCCAAGCGTCACGCTTGATAAAGTCCTTGAGGTCTTTCTCAGTGGTGACGTTCGGGCCGGGCCAGACCTCCTCGAAGCCGCCGTCGAGCGGGATGAGGTCGTCGAAGATGGTGCGGGAGAACTCCATGGCCTCGTACACGGCCTGCAGGTCCTTCTCGTCGGCGCCGTCTTTGGTGACGCCCGTGTCGAACGAGTGGAAGTTGATGACCGGGGTGTCACGCGGGTCGGTCGACCGCAGCTCGACGGTGCCGGCGTTGTTGCGGCTGCGCGCCTTCAGCGTGATCCACGTCCAGTGCTGTGCGTCGGAGAGCCCCTCCCTCGCGTAGTTCGGGTAGTAGCCTGGGAAGTTGGTGGGCGCGCCGGAGATGAGTAGGTCGGGCTCTTCGTCCTCGGCGGCGGCGGAGGACTTGCGGATGATGGCGATGGCGATCCCGTTGGTGGTGTAGGTGCCCTTGTTAAGCGGGTTGTTCTCGTACTGGTCCAGACAGGGGTCCGGCAGGGTGTACCCGAAGGTGCACTTGGACGTGAGGACGAAGTCCGAGGGCGACTTGCCGATCGTGCCGGTCTCGTAGCGGTCTTGGAGGTTCTTGCCGACGCCGGGGAGGTCAACGACGCTGTCAATTCCGAAGCGCGAGAGCTCGTCCTTGGGGCCGATGCCGCTGAGCTTGAGCAGCTGGGGGGTGTTGAAGGAGCCCGCGGAGATGATGACCTCGCGCTTGGCGGTGACGTGACCGGGCTTGCCGCGGGATTCCTTGGTCGCGCGCGGGTCGGCGCGGTAGAGGCTCTGGCCGCTGAGGTAGTCGACGCCGACGGCGCGGGGCGTGGGGCCCGAGTGGTCGAAGCGCACCTTGGTGACGAGGGTGGTGAGCTGGAAGTCAAGGTGGTATTTGCGGGAGCCGTCGTCGTTGCGGGCGTTGGCCGTATCCATGAGGAAATCGCGCGGGCCCGTCCGCTTGTACTCGGGCACGTCGACGGCGAGAGGCACCTGGTAGGGACCGGTCTCGAAGTCCCGGGTGGGGAAGGGGTTGTTGAGATCACGCAGCAGCACGCCGGCCAGACCAGCGACGGTGGTGATGGCCTTGCCCAGGATGGTCTTGCCGGCTGCGGTGGCACCGGCCAAGATAAGGGAGAGAATCTTCGCGTCTTCGATGACCAGCTGCAGGTTGGTCAGACTCGTGGTCAGCCAGCCGTCGAATCCGTGACCCATGAGGGAACTGGGCATGTAGCGGTTGCGCTCGAGACGCTGGAAGTAGTGGCGCATGTTCTCCGCGGACCAGGAGTCGTTGCCGGTCAGGGTGGCCAGCTGCTCCCAGTCTCTCTCGAAGGGGTAGATGGTACTATACATATTCGTGAGTATATATGTCACAGAGAACAGAACAATGCCTCCAGTAAAGCCTAACTTACACCATAGCATTGTGACTCGCGCATCCACCCAGCGTTCCCGCACGCGGATACAGAATGCCCAGGGGCTCCGCGTCAGCCGGAGGGTTGGAACCGACATGGAAGTCGCCCGACGAGGTGCGGTAGGTCATCTTGGAGTCCTCCTTCTGCCGGTCGAGGTCCGAGTAGTGGTTGACAAAGTAGTCCCAGCGCATGGGCTCGTACTCGGTGGACTGCAGCTGGAGGGCAGGGACCTTCTGAACAGTGGCGTTGCCCTGGTCATCGCCCGCGTCGAGCACCAGGACCTTGAAGCCCGCGATAGCCAGTCTGGCTGCGAGAGGACCGCCACCAGGGCCGGACCCCACGACTACGTAGTCGTAGTCGGTGGTCTCGGTCGAACGCCGATGGGCATTGTGAGCATGGTAGTCGTGCCTATAGCGTCTGTATCAGCGCCTTTTTGTTCTCGCGCAATTCAGGGTTCAATCTGCACCTACGAGGCGAGCACACCAGACAGCACAGACAAAGTGGACCACAGTCCCAACGCTCCGGAGATACGCATGGCCACAGCTCAGTAAAGCAAGAAAAAACAACAAACACAAACACAAAAAGCGACTTAAAGAGAGACAGTAACGAGCGGATGTGACGAGGGCGTGGATCTTTTTGGTTCCCGGCGCATTATAAAGCCAGTTCTGACATAAAAAAAACACGCCCCAGGGCCTCCTAAACCTCCCTATACCCTTTCATTTAGGCCATCCAGGGCAGGGACCGTCTAACGGGGATCGACAAGCGCGGAACGAAGTCTGTCGTTCCCTAGTCAGCAGCCACACAGGGGGTACTCCAAGACACGGCTCCCAATACCCTCTTCCGGAACCCTTAGGGCAAAGGCGGGTTTTCTCTGGCGCGGCAGGAACAGTCCAGTGTGGAGAGACATCTACGGCGCAGGGGGAATGGGCCAGCAACTAGAGGCATCTAGATTCCGATTATCTAGGACTTCCAATCCTCGATAGGCACGAGTGGACCAATGACCACGCGGTGCTCATGCTCATCGATTTTCCCAATACAAGCCCACCGGGATCATTGTAATTAGCAGGTACTATTCCTTTCGAGTCAGCAGCTAATTTCCGTGGAGTGTTGCCAGGAAGTCGCCCCCCGTTCATTCGCGCCGGTCCCTACCATATTGATGCCGACTAAATTTCCTAGGCCCTCGACACGAGGCGCATATCAATCAGGCTATAATAAAAGTACGACGGATATCCCCTCACGCTAGGATTCAATACGGGTGGGTCGTCTCCACTCTGATCGCCTCCGAGTAATGATAAGCCCTGTGCCGCTGGTTGTGGCGGGCCTGGGGCTTTAGTGAGTCTAAAATCATTTTAGTAAATGCCGTGCGCGGAAAAAAGGAAATGAGAAAGAGCAAGAGCACGTTCTCCCCGCCCGGATGAAGCTGAGATCGACTAGTGTCGTTGGTCTCTTGTCGCTTGAGTCGACCCTTGTCGTCGGACCCCTGATCGTGAACGGTTCTTACCATTGGGCTGGCGAACCCTATCCTATCCAACGGGAGAAATAGATATTAAATGTAATTTTTATGTCCATAATAAGCCGTGCCGAAACCCATGTGCCCCAACAAGATCCAAGTGAAAAAAAGTAAATAATGAATAGACAAGAAAAAATTGTGAAAAATAGTATAGAAATGAAAAATGAAATAAAACCAAGAACGGTACGGAATGGACTCCGTCGACCCGCCTTTTGGACCCCTAATGGACGGGCCCACTCCACGGTGCCTGCCGGTTCAGACTCGCCCGACTCGATGTTTCGATGTCGTCGAGGGGCACAAAGTCGTGGTCTTTGTTGAGGGTCCGCACCTGGGTGGTGACGCCGAAGCCGCCCGTGTTGTGGGCCTGCGAATTCGAGCCGTATGTCCCGTATGTCTTGCCGCGATCCGTGTCGCCAAAGGCGCGGGGAGCCATGCGCCGCAGGAGGGATCGAATAGCCGGGAGACAGGCGCAGATGATACCGACGTGGCATTCGATGGTACTCCAGTATCCGATTTTGACGTAGTCCCCTGGATAATATGAGAAACGGAGCGGAGGTGAGGTGTATTGCGGAGTCACTTACAGGTCAGGTTCTCGGTGGTCGCAAAGTGGATTAGGGACTCCAGGCGCAGAATCGTGACGAGAGTAACGCTGTAGACGTCAGTATCAGCGAGAGGCAGAAGGAAGCAGGCTGGGAGAGAGGGAGAGTTACAAAATGCCCAGACTGAACATGCACATGACGTAGGCCTTCTTCCTCCAGGACAGGTTAAGGCCATACAGCTGTCTCAATGGCAGCGCCATCACAACGATATCCAACGCCATGTTGATCAAGGCCGCCGACCAGCCCTGCGCGTTGATGTTGTTGCAGTGGTAATTCACCTCTCCATCCCAGTGGTGCCACGCGCCCGGAAGGGGTTTACACTGGAAGACGGAGATCAGGACGAATGTGATCCAGTAGGCGACATTGAAACCGATAACGACGTAGGTGAGTGTGCGGAACCGGCGTTCGGGGAAGATGCGCAGGTAGAAGCAGCAGATGGAGATTTTAGTCAGGGGGATAACGCTGAGGTAGAGGAGTTCATCCCAGAAGTAAACCTATCATCGTCAGTTCTACAGCTATATCTCTCGGATAAGCTGTGCCAACTAACATATAGAATTTTGGTGATATTGTCAAGCGGAATAGTCCACATGTCCCTGCCCAAGCCGAGATCTGCCACTATGCGGGGTCAGTTCAGTCTCTCAATGGTAAATCAGATCGAAAACAACATACACACGACGGAGAGCGCCGACAGTGGAATGACAAAGACCTGTATCTTCTTAGCCAAAGACCATACAGCTCAACCCAGGACAATCATACCATGGTCAGGGACATGGTTATATCATCCCACCCAAATACCCCTCCACAGCACCGGAGTCTCGCAATTATTCGAAGAACGTAGGCAATAACCGCCAGTATCAGCCCGACCACCCCAGGTATCGACACAGCCTTCGTTCGATCGCGGATAGGCGCCCCGCACGCCTGCGAGGTGACATTTTTCGTCGCTGCACTAGGTTAGCCCTCTATTTCAATCATACTTTGATCTCACTACCTACTGAGACCCTCGCGGATGCTGCAGCTAACGAGCACACATTTCTCCAACGCCTCGGTGTACTTTGCACTAGTACACTGGCATGTTTGATCGGTGAGGGCGCAACCGGACTTAGGCAGAGTCTCCGCCATACATTGAAGCTGCGACAGTCAGTGAGGGGCACATCAAAAGTCGATCCAGACATGCATACCGCACACTTGGGCATCATCGCCTCCAATTCCTTCATACTTGCCGTCACCGCGGTCGCCAATAGGGCGACGCCCAGCACTCGAAATAGACGCATCTTGACCTCCGCAGGCTATCATCTGGGGAAGTAAGATGATAGACGGTGAGATCGGGAGAGAGATAGATAATGAAAGATGTGCTGGGCTGGAAGATCAACCACCTGCATGTGCAAAAAGGACTGCGGTGACAGACCCGTTCCTCTCTGGCAACTGGCCGCGAGGATTCGCGGACCAATCTCGATAGACTGGACTCACTAGTCGTTGAACATCGATGCAATTTCATGTCCCACCTTCATGACGATGATTTCTTGCTTTTTCTTTTTCCTGTTTTTCTTTTCTTTTTCGCCACGTTCAGCTACTAGTCAATCCTTCTGTCCCCCCATCAAGGGGCATACTATACCCGAAGAAGTTGTCACCATCATGCATGTAACCGACAGGGGTCGGGAGTTCAATGACTCTCGAACGAACTGGAAAGGCGGCTTATCATTGCGATCTGCAGGATACAGTATTAGTCGATATCCCCGGTAATTTACCTTGTGCTTTCTCCTTCTTGTTTCCCCGTCGTCTTTGTCTTTCCCGATGCAGGGGCCGGGGAATAGGGACCCTGTCTGCCAAGCAAGCCCTAATCCTAAAAAAAAGCCGCTGAGCCGCTGGATCGGCAATTCAGGAGTTCAAGAGGCCCACCGCGGGGAGAGGGACGGCTGTTATCCCGTCAGGGCCGCCACTGTCAATTGCCAAAAATTCCCTAGCATGAACCTTACCGGGTGGGTCGGTCTAAGCAATGCCAAGATGCTGCTCCGTGTTCCCAGCATCCTGAAAGCAACAAAACACTCAACAAATAGCTCCTTCATCCACCTGCTATTGGAGTTTAGTAGGGCTTATTTTGACTCCTCCGCCCGGAGCCCTATACCGTCAAGAGGATTGCCTAGATGAATATGATATGTGATCTTTGCAGACGACTATCAGAGAAAGCACGGTCCGAAATGAATGTCGGAATCTGGGCCTAGGGGAGCCATTCCATCTACTGCCTGAATCAGGTGGGATCTGCATCAGCTCCCTGCTCTGCACTAACGTGGGTTGTGCATCCAAAGAACCAATGTTCGTATTGGGTAAGTAGCCACCATTCTTGGGGGCACACGACACCACCAGCACATGATAACGATAATGGTGATAATTCTTATGATAATTATCATTAGAGTTACCACTAAGTTCATCATTCCCGTTAGAAAAATCATCATCAAGATAATAAAATAGGGGTTGAAACGCCACAACCTTCGACATCGTCAGGCACGAAACCTTCCACTCCACCCTTACGGGGTCAGTCACCACCACAAGGGGCTTGTCGGTGACCTGTATCGGGCAAGAGAGTCCTGTCTCCATACTTTGAGGCTGTAGCGGGACGTAATTTCACAGCTTCTTCTGTGCACGATTGTAATACCGGGGTTTGTTGTCTCCCCTGATAGTCGCCGGTCCACCTCGCTGGAGAGCTCTTCGGCGGCTCGTGTTGCGTCCCACTGGAGCATACTGACTCAGCGTCGAGTGGTCCGCCCAAGAACCGAGTCAAGGTGAGGATGAGATAGGGGCCCATCGAACTAGGCGATGATGATCGCACGACTTTCTGTTTTGGTCATGGGCTGGGGGATTGCTGGGGATTTCTCGGGTGGTCATTCTCGTAGAAACACCACACTCCTTATTCGCTGTTGTTTGCTGCTCACTTGTCGCTCGTTAATCCATTTCTCTGTTTGTTCATTCGTTTGGATCATTGTGTTTACTGGTCTGTCTTTCATTATGCATCTTTTTGGACGGCAGCCGCTTGCGGTCCTGCTCTCGCTGAGTACTGTGGTGGCCGGGTTTGCGAACCTCCATAATGGTCACGCCGGTCTGCACAAGCGCTGCCCGTATGCGCAGGCGCAGGAGGATGACGCTGTAGCGCATGACAAGCGCTTTCTCTTCGATCTTATGAAAGACCCTGTTGATAGTACGTCGTTCTCGGGAGAGGGATGGACAGCTACTGACAGAGAGACCAGTCACCGGCGAACACGAATTCCACCCTCCGCAGAAGGGCGACCAGCGCGGCCCTTGCCCCGGTCTCAATGCCCTGGCCAACCATGGCTACATCCCCCGCAGCGGGGTGGTGTCGGTAAAGTCTTCTGAATTGGGAGTTGATGCAGAAGGGGAGCATCGCTGACAGTGACCAGTTTGGCGAAGTCATTATTGCCGTGAACAAAGGTCAGTCAGCCCGCCAGTCAAGGCGGCGAGGGAGTGTATAGACTAACCTCGCAATACAGTCTTCGGTATGGGAGTCGACCTGGTGACGATTCTGGCGATCATGGGTGTCGTCTGGACCGGAAACCCGCTGTCTCTGGACCCCAGCTTCTCCATCGGTGGTCATGACACCGGCGTGAACAATCTACTCGGCAACTTAGGAGGACTTTTGGGTATGGACTACTCATTTTCCTTTCGGTCTCCAAAACCGAACGCCCGGTTTGGTTTATAAGCCGTAACTAACAATCCCAGGCGAACCCCGAGGCCTGATCGGCTCTCACAACTTCATCGAATCCGACTCCTCCAACACCCGCGACGATCTCTACGTGACGGGCAACAGCTGGACCCTGAACATGGACAAGTTCATGTCCTGGTACAACATGTCCACGGACGGTACCTTCCCCATGGACCTGATGTCGGATCGCGCGGCCAACCGCTTCGAGGAAACCAAGATGACGAACCCCAATTTTTACTACGGCCCGGTGACCGGCCTGATCGCGCGCAACGCTGGATATATCTTCCCCGCGCGACTCTTCCGAAACCATTCGCGTGAGGAGCCGGAGGGTGTTTTGAGTATGCCACCTGAAACTTGATCAGCCGATGAGAAGGCGAGGGGCTAGAGTGCAGTCAAGCTAACTGCATCACAGCCAAGGAGCACGTCCGCAACTTCTTCGCCATCTATGGCGAGGAAGACAACCTCGAGTACCGTGAGGGATGGGAGCGCATCCCCGAGAACTGGTACAAGACGCCCGTGGATTTCGGCCTGGTCGAGCTGAACCTCATTCTCATCGACTGGCTGGCCAAGCACCCCGAACTGGCAAGGTGAGCCTCTCTCCTCCTACCCCACGGTGTCCACCCTCTCCAGCCCAAATAACTCATTAAATCAACCAGCATTGGCGGCAACACCGGCGAAGTTGACAGCTTCACCGGCGTCGACACGTCCGACCTCACAGGCGGCATCTTCAACCTCACCAACCTCCTCGAGGACAACAACCTGCTGTGCTTTGTAGCCCAGGTCCTCAAGTTCGCCAGTCCCAATGCGCTCTCCGGTATCTACAAGACACTGGCTGAGCCGTTGGAATGGGTCACCCAGAAATTGAGCGTGCCGCTCTTGGACCTCACCTGCCCCGCGTTTAAGGACCTGCAGGTCGGCGGCCGGCCGTTCTGGGATGCCATCCAGAATGACTTCCCGGGGGCCATGAAGAGTAAAACCTCTCTGTAATTTGATTATTATTATCACCATAGTATAATAAAGGGAAGGTGGGGTGGGTGGGGTGGCTCTTTGTGTTGCTCAATTAGGGAGCTCGCTTGAAGAGGGTGTTACTTACTATATCTTCCACGGGAGATTTTGTTAGCAGCTGGTTGCAAGTTATTATTCTCTACCATTCGTGGAATGTCTTCATTAATACAAGCAGGTTTCAGTGATTGTTCTTTGGACCAGTGCCCATGGAAGTCACAGAAACAAGCATTGATCTTCTTACACCTCTTCAGAAACTGGGAGTTCCAATATGTATATATGCTATTGAAAAGAACCAAGTAGAAATTCAGGTCACATTACTACTACAAGTACATATCAGTTCTATCTATTCACCAAATATCCATACAGCCAGCTCAACGACAGGCTTTTAATTTCCCTGACCTTGACGAAGAAAAGATAAATAGATAAATAGAGAAACAGAGGATAAAAAACGCCAATCAATGCATCGAATATGTAGCGATTCTCGCTGCCCAAGAGATTCGTAAGAAAACTCCATTTCAAATATCCCACCTTTATCCCGCAAAAGGGTATCAATGATATTGAGCACGTTCGGTACTTTTTTGTTTCCAGCGTTTGTAAGACATAAAGTGATTCTCCCAAGAATAATGAGCAAGGTAAAGAAGAGAATGGCGGTGGTGACGATGGTATAATGCAGAGTGAGATCACTGGCCCCCGATTTGGGCGTTGTCTTTCTCGGCCCACATACGCAAGACCGCGCGCTCGACGACATTCTGCGCCTCCTTCTCGCACTTGGCCAGGTCCTGACTGAGCGTTTCTTCCTCGAAGAGGAGTTCCTGCTGGTGGACTTTGACCCACTGCTTGTGTCGCTCGCAGCGCTTCTTAGTGCAGACGCCGCGGGTCGCGCTGGAGAGATCGTTGTCGTCGGGTTTAGTCCCGTTCATGTGGACGTCGCCGTCCTGGTCGGTCGCATCATCCGGGTAACTGGAGGCCAGTGCCTCGGGGGTACCCTCAGCGAGGGCATTGGATCCCAGCTCGGACAGACGCCACTCATCGAACTCCTCGTCCGACCAGGCGAGCCGCGAGTCGAACCCGCAGATGTCCTTCCAGCCGCCCTTGGGGTCGGACTGCTTCAGACGCTCGAGCACGCTCTTCGAACGCTGGCGGACGAACGCCAGGAACGTGTTGCGCGTTTCCAGCATTTGCTGGCGGTGGAGCAGGTTGGCGCGCTTCTGGCGCAGTTCGTCGAGCTTCGATGCCTCGTCCGGCGAGTAACTGAGCCCGTCGACGTCCGCGTCCAGACCCAGCTTCTTCTCGCGCTTTGTCTTCGTCCCCGTCGCTGCGTCTTCCTCTATCTCGTCTGGAGGGGGGGACACGATCCGCGCGCCGAGCTTCCGGAACTCCCGGACGGAGGATACTCCTGTGGCGACGGCTTTGAGATCGCCTGCTGTGAGGACCCCACCGCGACTGCCTAGGTCGTCGGCTTCGCCGCTGGGGCAGCCGTTTGTAGCTACTCCGTTTGAGGTGGCAGATCCGTTGACTGCTGTGGGAATTCGCCGTTGGAATCCTGTGTCAAAGTCCAGGTTGAGATACGCGGCCTTCTGTCGCATGAATTCTCGCCCGTGCTCATCAGAGCAATATTTGCTACGATGTTTTTCGAGGTAGCGAGCGGGCTTGCGACATTCTGTCAGCCGGCACATCGGCTTCCATGCAGTGCGGCCTTTGCCGTTTTCATGGCAGTTCGGACCTAAAAGATATTAGCGGATATGAATTAGGATGAAGGAGGTAGTATGTCGGTCACTTACAGATGTACTTGTCGATCAACTCGGCGTCTCGCGGGTCAATGTTCACGCACCTCCCATGGAACCAATCCTCGCAGCCTCCGTCGCAGCCGATCATCCACGTATGGTTATCAGGTTTGCGACAGATGCAGAAGACCCCGCCATCTTCATCCGAGTCCTCGTCGTCCTCGACGGATTTCTTCGTGCTTTTGCGCCTCCCTTTCTTCTTCGGCGGCTCGGGGGCTGGTGAGCTAGCGAGAGACGCTGGGCCCTGCTTTTTTGGCGCCGGGGCTTTGCTTGTCCGGGTGGATGATGGAGTGTTGGATCGGCGAGAATCGACACTCTCTTCGTCTGCATCGAGCTTCCGCTTTTTGCCGGTAGATTTCCTTCCCGTGCCTTTCTTAGTAGCCCCAGTGGTCGACTTTCTCACGGTCGAGCCGGGCTTTACAGACACCGGTGGGGATGATCGATCTGACGAAGACGCCCTTGAGGCTGACCCTTGCCTGAGATCCGCGATCTTTTTCGAGGTAGGATGTTCCTCGGGTAGGTCCGATCCGTCCAACTGAGGCAATTCGTTTTTCACTCCGTCATTCTTGTCCATGGGAACCTTGTCCAAATTCATCTGAGAAGGCTCCGACTTCACTTTGGCCGCGGTTATAGACCGATCTCCTGGAGCCTCATCCCCCGCTCTAGAATACGAGAGACCCTCGTAAATATCGGCCCACGTGGAATCGCCGTCGGCATGTTCACCCCTGAATTGTCTATGTACCTTGCTCGCTCTTTGCAAGCCAAAGAATCCACTATTCCGCCAGTCAAGCAGTCCCACAACGCGATCGTCGTTGACGATGATATTTGACCGAGCCATACAATTGTGCACAAAACATAGACTCTCATCTTCCTGGGGTTCCTTAAACAGTATATCTTTCTCGGAAGCCGAGATCCCCGGTGGGATATGTGAGTTGAGTCCGCGGCAAACGTAGGAAGGCTCCGGCGCCGTTTCGGCGCCTCCTAGACGCTCCAACACTCGACGACACTGATCTTTGAGCATGTCGACCTGGTCAACGGTCAAGTGCCCCCAAGCCACGTCCAGAGAAACGCCCGGAAGCCGGGACTCCACCGTAACATTCTTCCCGTCGACAGTTCCACAATAGTATACGACTGGCACAGTGACGTCCATACCTCGAAGAACGTCTTCTGCCTTTCTCGCAGCACTCAGCTCATTCGTATTGACACATGAAAACATTGTTGCAGTTTCATCGGTGACCACCTCGCTGTCGACTCGGATGACAATGCTGCCCGCAGCAAAAGCTTCCCGTTCCCCAGGCATGTTCAACGAATTCTCCGGCGTACACGATGTTTTCACAATCTCCTGCCAGTACGAATTGGCTTCGGAATCGGCCTCGTGCCAGCGATCATGGCGGGGGCGGAAATCACTGTCACGTGCCATGTACCGACCATATAGTGCGCTTCGAGCCAGGAAAGGATCATCCTTGGGAATGTTTTCAGGATCTGTCTCGTAAGGGTTTATGGTGATTTTGCGATCATGATTAGGACCGTTTGCTGGGGTGCCATTCGCAGGCGCGTCCGTATCGCCGGCCATCGCAACCCTAGTGCTGCTTCTCGAGGGGACGGGACCCCAGCGGTCTAGGCGAAAAGACGCAGCGCTGTATTATGTCAAATCCAGCGAGGGGTCTGTATTGGTCAGGGTTTTGACCCCGTAAGGATGGACGAGGTCGGCGCTTGATCAGTCTAGGTGGTGAATTCTGGTCTTATCCCAACCCCCGGAGGCATCCTGGGAGCGGCCACCACCGATTCCAACGTTATTCTAGGGGCCAGGTGTAAAGGGCCGGCAATTTCACGCTGGAAACCAGGAATTTGATGGGCGTAGGTCAAAGCACGGTTCGCGATCCCCTGCTGCGATTTTACAAGGATCGGCGCAGGAGGAAATTCTTCGGAGGTCGATACAAGATGATCGGAATCTCGAAGTCTGTCCGGCGAGCACGAACCGAGACAGCGATGAGGAGGGATGCAACTGCAATCAAAATACAAGGATTTTCAAGGCGACACACCACTGAAGAAGACGACAGGGTCCGGCAACACAACAAGGCACGCGTGAGGGACAGGCTGGCTCGTCTTCCGGTCGGCGACGCGGAGTTCAAAAGAAAGGATCGATTTGCCCGTTCTGCCCGTTCTTTGCGAAGGCGGTGGAGATCCATCTCCGCCTGCGATCCATCATCGTCAGGCTCCTGGCTTCATCATCGATGCCATCGACACCATCGACACCATCGACACCATCGACACCATCGACATCATCGACATCAGTTAACACTATCTGACCTACAATGTTGTTCTTACATGGATGTTTTTTGCGCAACATATGGTGTTTCCCAATATGAAGATGAATCTATAGCGCAACCATTGTTGTTCCAAGCATCTCCTGATCACTTCTAACCTTAGCTACCCACCTCAGACCCTCCTGGTTTTTTCCGCTTGTTCCGCTGATGCAAGTACGGTAACGGCAATATTTTTGCAGGGAGGAAGGAGTACTGTGCTCATATTCGTCGAATTTTCCGGCATCCTCGAAGGAAACACCGCCCCCTACTGTGAACCGCACCAACATTGCGAAACCCATTTCAATTGAACGCTACGGATTCGCATTTATCATGATGGAGGCATCTATTTGGCCAATCGGGACACCCATGCACGTACAAGCAGCGTCCCATGCTTTGGCACGTCTTCGTGGTGGTGGCTGTGGTTCGGTGATAAAAATCCTCGTGAACCATAGGCACGATAGGCCCACCTAGCGCCAGTTGTCTAATGTGTAGGAGGGTTGAATCAGAGTCAGGAACCGGTCCTTCGACAATCTGCTCAGCCTCCACCCTACTGTATGGGGCCTTCCTGATGGATGGCGACGATATTGTCCCTCCCAGGCTCCAGGATTTAGATGGGCCCGAGCTCTCACAGTGAGAAATGGCCCAAGGTAAACAGGGGACTAATAAGGGTGTTGTCCATAATTCCACCATGGATAAGCGACGGTGTCGTAGGGGCACAATTCAAATGTATACTTCCTAAAGTCTCGTACCAATTGCTGTTTCGAGTAGTAGGGGGTGGCAGTGCAGTGAACATAATACCAATCAATGATACTACACGGCAATATAGTACGTACGGGTTATTGCCATGATCGACTGTAAGAGTGGACACGAAATACTGCACTGCCATTATCTTGGGCGGGTTGTCTCACAGTTGTTTCCAATCTGCAGATATACACAACAATTTAGACAAGTATACCTGAGGCAGCAATGTGTGCCTGGCACTGTACTATAGACGGCTAGTGGCATGGGAATCATCCAGACCAACATTTACTCTACCACTCCCCACCACAGAGCTTCTACAGACTATTGCCTTAAACTTGATGTTCCTGATTCCCATCATTTTGTAAGCTAAGGTGCTAGGTTCTATCAACAAGGCACATTCGTCGCTGATCCCAACGGCTAATCCGTCCATCTAGATCCTACAGATCCTAGGTTTGGCTGGAACTGTGATGGCTGGTTCTAGCTCCGACGCCATTACTTTGGGGGCACAAAGTATCGAACCGCATCATTGGAGGTGCTGTTTCAGTTGTTGATCGACGCCAAGGTCGTGGGAAGCTCCATCGGAGCCTTGACTTGGTGAATGAAAAGGATGCTGACATCGAACAATCGTCGTAGGACTGCCATAGCCCCGAAGACTTGGTGGGGCCTTCCACAAAGGGAAAGTGGTAGGATGGGGAAAGAAGAAACGAAAAGAAGAAGTAAGAATAAGGGAAACGACAAAAGGCTGACAGTCGATACAGCATGCAGTGCCAAGAAATCCTATCAATCTAGGAGCATGGATGGTGGATTCCACCTGAAAGACCGAAGTTTGTCATTGCTGTGTGCCTTGCTAATTGGACAGTTTACAGGGTTCGTGAATCCTTCTAGGGCCATTTCTATGCTCTTCCGGGTACTATATATCCGAAACCAAGATGCAGCCTTGCAGGCGCAGCTGATTGGACTAAGCTTAGCATCAGGCTCCGAACAGTGCATACCGAACACTAGTAGCCATGTCGGCGTGAAGCAGGACCAAGCGATCTTTCGGTTCCTCGGGAACTGACAACATCTTCATCACATTTGCAAGCCCCTGAACCCTGGATCACTCATGATCATGACTAGTGCTAGACAATGAGCCACTGTCGAGAGGGGCAAGGTTGACTCGTAGATTGAACCAAGCATTTTGCCCACTTCACTGCCCATTACCCCATGTCTAATTATCGCGTGGTGCAATATGAGTGGACTGTCCAGATCACTGCCATTCGCCTCTGCAAAGATGGAGGGTTGGAGACTGCAGATCGCATCTGAACGCGTCATTTCTTTTGCAAAAACCTCTTGTTGAGTATTTGGCGTCGGGGAGAAAGAGAAGAACGCCCCGCTTGAAGTATGATCCGCAGCATGGATCGCAACATTCGAGCATTATGAACTTGATGTGCTTATTTAGCAGCGCAATATGGTCCTTCTTGACGAACTTATCTTTAAGAAATCCTCCCGTTCCATTAAAGCCTGGCTTCAGCATCACCAGCTTGACCCTGTTCAGATCTAGTCGTTTCATCCGTGGTTGACATTTTTCTACATGTTTAACATAAGAGACTCCTGTTTGTCAGTCCAAAAGCCAGAGCCCTAACCGGCAGTCGATAGTGGTCTGAAACCTCAAAATTGGCATTGTTGCTTGCTGCCATAGCACCTCGAGGTGGAAGAGTGCTCTAATCTGCCCAGGCCATCCGCAACTGGCTAGAAGGGATACAACTTTGCATGTCTCTCCGGTATTTTGACTGAAGGAGAGGCTATAATACTTGACGATCTTCATATTCGAAGAAAACCGCGACAGCGATTCTAATATGCCAGACCAGTACGCAACCTGGGACCGGGATGATTCTCGGGCACATTCGCCACCGACGCGATGGCAATTCATCGATACGTCCAACAACAGTCGGAGTAACCTGACCCAAGTCAAGCGCCATGTGATGCAGGAGTATATGCGTCAAAAGCGTCAGGATACCGACGGCAATCCCGAGAAGTCCGTCGACGAGAGTTCTATATCACAACACCGTCCTCGTCGGCGACCAAAAAGGACCGAAGACTCCGGAAAAGATATACGCACGATTGGGAAGAAAGGATGCGACAACGCTCAATCACGAGAAGAGTCTGGGCCGTCCTCGACTCGACAAACTACGGCCAACCTTTCCCCAGACACTTTCATGGCTAGTTCGTCTAGGACGTATGCTGAGCCGGCTTCCATACCTGGTGCAGAAAGCCCCTTTCCTCCACATGTTCCGTTGATGCCTTCATTCCCGGATGACTATGCACTCTGGGACCAAGCTAGTGGCTTAGGGTTCGATGGTCAAGCGCCGTTATCACCAGTCACGGGGCTTTTAGATTCCTTTACCAACGAAATGACTTCCCATCCATATGGAAGCCACCTCCCATCCGCCAATGCCAACAACTGGTGTACTTCAGACTTTGCACCCGAAGCCACGACGGGAAATGTCTCGTTCCGGGACGGTGGCACGGTTCGCGCGGCCAATACATGGACTGGAGGTCGGAGTGATGATGGAAGTTCGCTGGCGCATCAGCACCAGGCATCGTTCACGCATCAAGAATGCCTAGAAAACAACCCCAGCGATATCTCCGATAACGCGATTATCTCGTCATTGAGTGCAGCTGGTCTTGAAGATTCAGACCCCCGGCCAGGGAGGAAAGAAATCAGCTGGATGCACATGCGAACGGCGCGGGAGATGATCCGCGCGCGAGGAGGGCCAGCGGCCTTTCACAACACCCGATTGGGTATTTTGATCAACTGGCAGGACTACATCCTACCGGGCTACGAAACCAACGGCCCCAGCTTTTTCTTCGAGCCTCGCCCAGCAGCCAGCCAGCCAGTGCTCCGAGCCAATGCCGCCGCAGCATCTTGGGGGACCTCCCCCGGTGTGGCCCCGTCTGCCTCAACGCTTTCCCCGCTGGATGAAATTCGGCAACAATGCGAGGAGTTTATTGACTTCCTGAAGCGGTGCGAGGAACTCTCCATGTACCACCGCAGCTGCGACCCGACTTCCATGCCCGTGCGTCACACGGCGTTTCAGCCCACATCGCCGGTCTATCGGGCTTTGACAGCACCGGCTAACATGCGCACGCCGACCCCCGAGGGCGGAAGGCAATTCATCGCCCGACTTGTGAACCTCATCCTGGTCAGCGCATCTCTCTGGGATTACCGCTGTTCGGCGCAACACGGCGAGAGCTATCTGCGGACCGTGCAGCAGGCGGTGATGGCGCAGGACGCCAACGTGGGAGGCTCTGCAGAGACCCTTCTCCTGACGATGCTCGAGTACAATGATCGGATGGGGAGTGTCACGGATGAAACCGGCCCCGTGTCCTTTGGGAGGCCATGGTTCGCGGGACGGATGCTCAAGGTTGCCAAGCGATTAAGTCTGGGCATGTGGATGCACGTGCAGGATTTTCTCCTCTCGTGCTTGGCCCTCCATTCGCCCGCTGGGATGGTTTCGGTCGAGATGTGGGCAGAAGCGCTGCGACATGAAGTGCTGGGTGCACCGCTTACTAGCTATGTGATGCCTGCTTTGAGGGGGTGACTTTGGTATATCCAATCTCTATATCCCTTCACTTGGTTTCTTCTCCTTTGTCCTTGTCCCCACCCAATGACGTAATGTTCTAGACACTGAAGTGACTAAGTAAAAAAATAAAATAAAAATTTGTAAAAAGAGAGAAAATACGAGAATGAGAAGAACGACAGAAGAATCAACCAAATAGGCAATAATCTTCAAGAAAATAGAAACCCGACAACTCCTTGACACACTGCATATGCATAATCGTTACGTACGATGTAGGTTCAAGCCATGTCTCATTCTTAGTCCCAGCATCATTCCAGTCAACCTCTCTTACATGAATTACCAGCGCCTTACTCCGTACTGGAGACACAGCCCTGTCAACTGGGGCAAACTGGACCATCGCACCCAATCAATCCTCAGCCTGGAAAAAAAGAAGGCGAAAAAGAACAAACGCTGATCCGAGAAGTTCCCCACATCGGTCCATATCCATGACATGATTGAACCGGGTGTGACCATCTTGTTCTTTCCACTCGGCCTTCGCAGACGGAGTTATGCTTATGACGGTCGATGTGGTTTTCTCCGATCGGTGATTAGTATCTACTGCTGGTTGGCTTAGATTGATTTCTTTCAGTGTGGTTTTCTGACTCATTTTCTGTTCCCCTCTCTCCCCTCTTGTCTATCACTTTCCCCAGGCCAGGATTGAAGGGAAAACGAAAGAAAAATAAAAAGAAGAATATAACAAAAAAATAAATAAAAAAAAATAAATACAGAGAAAAAAAAAGGAAAAGACGAGGAAAGAGAAAAAGAAAGAGCAAGACAGAAGAGAATCAAAAAAGGAGACAAGAACGGGCCCACAGGAAAAAAGCTCCATCGCGGCGTCTATCGCTAAACGGCTTTTTCGAGACTTCTTCCTCTTGCATCACTTTCTCCTTGGCCAACTCTCCACATCGGGACATGCAACAGGGCCAGATTATACCCCATCACCATCGTGCGATCAATCCCTCGACTCAATATTGCTTCTGGATGTGAGAACCAACTTTCTTTCCCCCGCCTATCCTCGAATCTCTCGCTTTTCGTCCATCCCGATCGCTCGTATCGCAAACCCACTTATACGGACAATACGAATCGATTACTCTGCATCTCTTCTTCTAATCTGTTCCTTCTTCCCCTTACATGACGTCCGCCACTCTGGACCCCCACGTTCATCATGACCACTCCGTCCTCGTTCAGCGCCACGGCGGCCGACAATGTGAACGAGGACGATCCCCACGATGCCCTCCATTACACCCTTGAGGATCCTGACCCTGACGTCCACATGGGCGACGACTCCTTTCCCGATTCCAAACCCAAGGAATCGCTACCCATGCAGAAGAGACGTCGGGTGACCCGGGCCTGCGATGAGTGTCGGCGCAAGAAGATCAAGTGCGACGGGAAGCAGCCTTGCACCCACTGCACCGTCTACAGCTACGGTACGCCCCTCGTTCCAATTGGATTGAACCCACACCCCCCTCTTTGGATGCACATAGCTAATCAGCCGCGCGTAGAATGTACTTATGACCAGCCGTCCAACCGTCGGCGCAACCCCGCCCCGCAATATGTCGAAGCTCTGGAACACCGTCTCCACAAAGCCGAAGCGCTCCTCCGGGTCGTCCTCCCGGACCTCGATCTGGATGACCCCCGATTCGACGAACATGCCACCGAACAGATGTTGGCCGCGATTCGGCGGGAGTCGCAGCAATCGCACTCACAAATACCGCCCCCGCCACCGTCCCAACCGGCCCAGTCATCGCAACCTTCCGTCGCTCCGAATACCCCCCAGTCGGTGACAATCACCGGAGGCCCAGGAGATGAGACTCAACCTTCGACATCCGCGGAGAATGACTCGGCGGGGGATGAATCGATGCTCGAGTCCATGGTGGAAAACTCGGGTTGCTTGGATCTAGACGACCAAGGCCACTGGGACTACCACGGGCACACCTCCGGCATCATCTTCATTCGGCGCCTGCGGAAGCAGCTGGGAGCGTCCGACATGCAACCCCCCTCCATGAAGACCCGGCCGGTGCAGCAGATGCTGGAGAGTCCCAAATCGGTCTCCGACTCGCCCCAGGATGCCTCCCTGCCGCCCACGCAGGACCTGCCGTCGCGCGACGTCGCACGGCGTCTGTGCCACAGTGCGCTGGAGGACGGTTGCTCCCTGATGCGCTTCGTCCACGAACCGTCCTTCTACGCCATGCTGGAGCGCATCTATGATACCCCGACAGAGCAGTTCACCAACGAGGAGAATTCCTTCCTACCTCTGCTATATATCGTCATGTCCGTCGGCTGCCTGTTCTCCGACGACGGAACGGGGCTTCTCGATGTATCGGGCTACGAGAGCGCGATCGGTCAAGGGTATGTCTATACTCCTCTGATGAAAAGAGAGAGAGGAAAAGAGATTAACGTCAATAGGTTTCAATATTTCAAGGCTGGTCGACAGCTTTTGGAAATCACGGACTGTCGCGACCTCACCTCCCTTCAAGCCATCTGTTTCATGGTCCTATTCCTGCAATCGTCCGCTAAACTCAGCACATGCTACTCGTATGTCGGAATCGCCCTGCGGTCGGCGCTGCGGTTGGGTCTGCACCGCTCCGTGACGGCCAACTTCAACCCGGTCGAACGCGAACTCCGGAAGCGCGTGTTCTGGGTCGTCCGCAAGATGGATGTCTACGTGAGCACGCTGCTGGGTCTGCCGCAGATGCTGAGCGACGACGACATCGACCAGGAGTACCCGATGGCCATCGACGGCGACTTCATCACCCCGAACGGCATCCTGCCGGCGCCCACGGATTACACGCCCCTGATGGCCGGGGCCAATGCGCACACGCGGCTGTCGACCATTCTACTCAAGGTCGTCAAGTACATCTACCCGGTCAAAAATGCCCAACATCGGTCCAAGTCGGATCAACGTTACGTGGTGAGCCATTCCAAGATCCGCGAAATCGAGCGGGATCTGCAGGCGTGGATGGAGGAGTTGCCGGCGACGCTCCGACCGGGGACCGAAGTGTCCCCGCAGCTTGAACGGTATGTTTGTGATATTTCCTAGGTCGGTGATCGTCGTACTTATTGTGAAAAAATTAGTGTCCGACAATTACTCCGCATAAGCTATGCCCACGTGCAGGTGGTCATGTACCGACCCTTCCTCCACTACGTCTCCAGCGGTTCGCAGGCTCGAGGCCTGGATCGACGGTCGTACGCCTGTGCGGCCGCCTGCGTTAGCGTATCGCGCAATATCGTGCACATCACCACCGGCATGCACAAGCACGGTCTCCTGAACGGGTCGTTCTGGTTTACCATGTACACGACCTACTTTGCCATCCTGTCTCTGCTCTTCTTCGTCCTCGAGAACCCTGACTCCCCGACGGCCAAGGATGGCATACTCAAGGACGCCATGGAGGGCAAGACGACCCTGGGCGGTCTGGCCAAGAAGAGCATGGCCGCCGACCGGTGCTCGCAGAGCCTGAACTGTCTGTTCAAGAATCTCCCGGAGCTTCTCAAGAACCGCCAGAGCGCCGTCGCGCCGGTGAATCTCAAACGGCCGGCGCCGACCAACCGCGTGGGCACAACCAACAGCCCGGCGGTAGCGGCGCGGCTCACGCCCCAACGGTCGAACACCTTCCCGCTCCAACTGCTCACGCGGCCGACCAAGGCGGAGGCCAGCAACACGCCCAAGACCATGGATGACAACCACCACCCGTCGCCTCAACCGCGTCCAAGCCAGCCTCCCACGCCCAGTTGGGTCCCCTCCACGCCCGTTCCGCGCAGCGACTCGGTCTCCACACCCGCCACAATGGACCACCCGCACGGACCGTCCAACATGTCACTATCCTCCTTCCCGATCCCCGGGCACGAACCTTCAGGGACCAGCTATAGAACACCATCGGCGCCGCCCCCATCATACCCCGGCGGGTCCCACCTCCCCGACCTCATGCCCATCATGTTCCCTTCAGACGACCCGTTCGCATACCCAACCCAGCCAATGTCCACCCTTGAAAATGACCACTTCCGCGAAGACGGGACGCCATTCGGCATGGGCTCAAACAACCCGCTCGGTCTCTCCCCCGCCGGTCTCGACAACCTAAACAGCCTCGGCATGTTCCCGCATGGGCCAACCTCAAGCGGAGGCATGAACACTGGCCTACCGAGCCAACTCGCCCAAGCTCCACCTCAACCCCACCACCAAGCCCAGGCCCAACCAGCAATGAGCCGGTCCCGCCTCCAGTCCCCGGTCTCACACGGCTCCACCACCCCCGGCGAAGCAGTCAACAGCCCCGACCTTGTCTCCATCCCCAATCAAAACCAGAACTTCCTCTGGCAGGGCTACAACTTCCAGCCGGGCACATCCCAACCAACAATGACGTCCTCGACGGCTGCGCCGGACTTCACCGATCTGGGAAATCTGGACGACGCACACCACCAGGCGGTGGGGCCAGGCATGGGCATGGGCATGGGGCTGGACCTGGGGATTCCGCTGGACGATATCTTCGGGAATGGCGAGGCGTTGCGGATGGGGTATGGCAATCATCCTTACAACCCTGCCAATGGGCCGCCTGACGCTGCGAATGCGAATGCGAATGCGAATATGAACGCGAATGGAACTGGAAGTGACGACTGGACGCAGTGGATGAACGTGGGATGAGTGACGATCCCTTCCCTGACTTTATTGACGGTAATTCTAATGACTCGGCATGGGAAATGTGGCGTTTATATCAATCAACCTGGTACATATAACATCTACACCTACATACCACTTACATACATACCATATATCTACATACTTTCTATCCTACACTTCAGTCTCTCTCTCTCTCTCTCTCAATATACATAAGTATTATACACCCAAAAAAACAACAAGATCACACCCTCCTCCTAGGCGGCTGATACCAACTCCAAATATTCAACCCAACCTTCACCCCCTCCGTCACCGGCAACGCAGCATGCCAAGTCTCCGGATACCCACTGCCATCGGGCCTCAAATTCTCCCAAAACACCGCATTCCCCGCAATCGGCTTGAACGTGATCCCTCCCATCCCCTCTCCCTCCCCATCCGAGTCCACAGGGCACTCAATAAACCGACACCACTCCCTCGCAACGGGCCTCACCAGTCTCGGAAAATTCGTCCCGCCCCCCTTACACCCATCATCCAAATACACCATAAACGTAGTCGCGCGGTCGCCTCCCCTCGCGGCGGACCCCGCCCAATCGTAGTGGTGCGTGTAGTGGCCCGAGACGTTATAGCGCTGGGCCCAGAGCGGCTCGATGTGCAGGTAGGGACGCCAGCCTTGGAAGGAGGCGGCGCGGCGGTTGAGACACCGGACGGGGGTGCTGTGGGCGGGGAGGAGGGCGCGGTCGGAGAGGCGGCGGGTGGGGTCGATGCGTTGGGAGGTGCCGTCGTAGATTATGGAGGGGGTGTAGCCGTGGTTTGTGGATTGGTTGGTGGAGGGGGATTGGGGGGTGGTGAGGGAGAGGAGGGAGGTGGTTTCGGGGCCGGAGAGGAAGTTCTCGATGTAGATTATTAGGGGCGTGCGGGAGAGGATGTGCGTTTTGTAGGTGTCTTGTGGGCAGGTGAGGGGTTCTTCGGAGGGGGAGTAGGATGGGGAGGAGGGGTCGTCCGGGGAGAGGAAGTCTGGGTCGAGGTATGGGAGGTCGTATGCGTCTGGGTTGCTCTCGAACTCGGAAGGCGAGGGAATGAGGGGAGAGTTGTTGAAGGGGTCGAAGGGGATGTTGGTTGTGGTTGTGTTGGAGGCGTCGTCGGATGGGAAGTATTGGCGGAGGAGGGGGGCGAGGACGAAGAGGTAGAGGGGGAGGAGGTAGAAGAGGGAGGAGAGGATTGTGTTGAGGGTGATCATTTTATATCAATCATTATATAGGGTATAGATAGGTAGTATGTATGAATGGAGTTGATAGGAGGGATAAGTATAGTGAAAATGTGAATTATGAACTGCTGGATTATGCTGAGTATATGATGAGTCAGATATTATTCACTGCATAGCTGAGATATGCAACACTCAATTCTATCAAGCATTATGATTCCATCTCATGCTAAATATGACATCAGTATCAGTAAACGATGTCTCTCTCATCATGTGTAATTGTATTTTGATGTCGCACGGTTATCAACTAAGCAACCCACGTGGGGTGTTCTGGAGTTGTTGGTGGCTGACCGTCTGCGAATGGACCTGGGGTAGTCGGTGGGTATACCGTCTTGGTGGTCTTGGTACTTGGTGGCATAATACGGGAAGGGGTGGAAGAATCTGGTAGGTGGATATCTCGGTATTTATCCGAATGTACGGGGTATACACGGATACCAAGATGTATATTTTTTTATGTACCTTCGCATATATGCTAAGATCTCACTATTGATTCACGTCCAGTGGTGCCAGTTCGATCCTCGCCTTGGTATTATTTTAAATGTAAAAATAGTCCGTCTATCGATTGTACATCCCCGTATCTATCCAGCGAGATACCAGGATCAACGCCGAATACGACCTCGTTAACAGACATAAGTACCGGGAGCCCAGACCTGCATCCAGGATGGGTTGCCCCTTTCTTACCATGACCCTGTCGTTATCTATGATATGGTTGGTCCAAGAAAGACCGCATCTCGTCTGAGCCCCGGGCCCCGGTTGCCCCTGACTGTTCTTACTGTTTCTAACTGCTTCTAACTGACGTGGTAGATAAGAGGTCTACCTTTCGATGGCCTGGTATCAGCTTATAAGTCTGACGTGGACCAGATAGAAATCATCGTACGATTTATACAAGGTGCTCAGACATCAATACTGAAGTGAGGTTCTCCGAAGTACGGCCAGATGATTCTCCAGGTGAAAAGACTAGTAACCGTATCCAGAACCTTGCCCAAAGGGGATAAAACAGCCGGTGAGTCATCCAGTCCAGACCAACGTAGAACTGGACAGAAAGTGGACAGAAAGTGGACAGAAGACCGATTGAGATTCCTTACAGAATCACGGAATTCCAGGGAGTTGTGTGCATTCGCCCCAACGATGGCCAGTGGACCAGTTACCTCATGCCAAGAAAGAACATCCCCTGGTCATGGCAAGTTCCAAGAATTCTGGAGTCCGGAGCGGGAACCAAGAATCAGTCCATGAATGCCAAGCGTCTGTCTTGGTATTGTGAATCCACAGCGTGACCATTCCATTTCGGTTCAATTCCTTCTCCAGGACAAGCCCTGTCAGAAGAGGTGACAAGAACCAATCGGGGAGTCAAAAGATCAAAAGAAAATGTAAGAGGGTCGGTCAGGCCAATCAGGCAACAAGGCGCCGGGGAGAATGGTGGTGCCTTCGTTACTAGGAGGGATGGGGATACGGTGTATTTCGAGGTCCGCGTTGTATTATATTTTCTGGAAGGAGATCATCAGATTGATCATAGGTTGATGATATTAATACTGATATTAATACTGATATTAATACTGATGGATATATATCTATCGCCATAGTAATATTGTGAATAATATCAAATCATCATGAATATCATCAAAACATACTAGATAATGGACGGATGAAATGAAACCGAATACACAATACAACGCCAATACCAATAATACACGCGATTTCTTGGCCCGGTCTTGTCCCAGTCTTGTCCCAATCTCGCCAATGCCAATCCTGCCCAGTCGTTCCGCTGGGCTGTGCAAAGCGGTTTTTTCTAGGCAAGTCTCGGCTCTCCGTCTGTCCGCATTTCCTCCTCTTTCCTCCCTCTCCCTCCTCCAAACTCCCAAGACTTTCCTCTCTCTATTTCTTCCCCACTTTCCCCTTTCTTTTCTCCCTCCCTCTCTCTGCTCTCTCTCTCTCTCTCTCTTTCTTTTCTATAAAACGTTCCACCGCATTGCACTTTACACGTGTGTTGGTTTGTCCCTCTATTGCTGTTCTCACCGCATCCTCCCTCTCTTATTGGAATCGTAATCTGGAATCATCTCCCTCACTTCATGGGATCTGTCAATTCCTCTTCCCATCTCCCCTGGTAGAAATTATCCCTCATTCCGCCCGTCTTTCCCTCTTCCTTCCCTCTCCCAAGACTTGGACAAGAAAAACCGAGATTTCTTGGCAATGTCGGAACACCAAGAAACCCCCTCGACGGCCACGCCGGCCGCCCCTGCCCCCGCGCCCGAACCGCAGCAAGACCAACCCGCCTCCCAACCCCAGGCCCAGGTCACCGCCGCTGATGCCACCGCGTCCGTCACCGCGACCGCCGCGGCGGCGACGGCGGCTGTCGCCAACGCGACCCCCGTCAATGGGAATGCCGCGCGACCGTCCGAAGAGCTCTCCTGCATGTGGCAAGGCTGCACCGAGAAGTCTCCCAGCGCCGAAGCTCTCTACGTAAGTTCTCTCTCTTTTTCCTTCCCACGCAATAATTATTAACCGTTACAGGAACATGTGTGCGAACGCCACGTGGGTCGCAAGAGCACCAACAACCTCAACCTCACCTGCCACTGGGGGAGTTGTCGCACCACTACCGTCAAACGCGACCACATCACCTCCCACATTCGGGTCCATGTGCCGCTCAAACCGCACAAGTGTGATTTCTGTGGCAAGGCCTTTAAGCGCCCCCAGGACCTGAAGAAACACGTCAAGACCCATGCCGATGACTCAGTGCTGGTCCGCTCCCCGGAGCCCGGGGCCCGCAACCCCGACATGATGTTTGGAGGTCATCACGCCAAAGGTATGGATGGCGGTGTTCATCACGGTCCGTTCCACTCTAACCTCGCCGCTCGTCCCGTAGGGTACGCACCGTACTTTGAGCCTGCGGCCCTGAACGCTGTCCCCAGCCAGGGCTATTCCCATGCGCCGCAGTACTATCCGGCCCACCACCATCCCCCGCAGCCGGCCAACCCCTCGTATGGCAATGTCTACTATACTCTTAATCACGGGCCCGAGGCCGGACACGCCTCGTACGAGTCGAAGAAGCGCGGGTATGACGCTCTGAACGAATTCTTTGGCGACCTCAAGCGCCGCCAGTTTGATCCGAGCTCCTACGCGGCCGTGGGCCAGCGTCTGCTGGGGCTGCAGAACCTGTCGCTCCCCATGAGCACTGGTCCGATGCCCGAGTACCAGCCCATGCCCGCCCCTGTGGCTGTGGCCGGTGGCGGCGGCGGCGGTTACAGCCCCAGTGGTGCGCCGCCCGCGCCCGCGCCTGCCTACCACCTGCCGCCCATGAGCAACATCCGCACCAAGAACGACCTGATCAACATCGACCAGTTCTTGCAGCAGATGCAGGACACCATCTATGAGAATGACGACAACGTAGCCGCCGCCGGCGTGGCGCAGCCCGGGGCGCACTACGTCCACGCGGGTATGAACTACCGCGCCGCGCACTCGCCCCCCTCGCAGCTGCCGCCCGCCCACATGGCCACGACCGCGGCTGGCCCCGCGCTGACCACCCCGGTCGCCATGCACTCTCCCTCCACCGGCACGCCGGCCCTGACGCCGCCCTCGAGCGCGCAGTCGTACACGTCCGGTCGGTCGCCCGTCTCGGTGTCGGCCAGCCACCGGGTGTCGCCGCCGCACCACGACCTCGGCTCCAGCATGTACCCGCGCCTGCCCTCGGCCACCATGGCGGACAGCATGGCCGCCGGTTACCCGACGGCGTCGAGCGCGGCGCAGCCCTCTACGCTGGGCAGCGCCTTCGATCCGGACGACCGCCGCCGCTACACGGGAGGCACCCTGCAGCGGGCGCGACCGGAGCCCATGGACCTGAGTCACCATGACGCGACGAACACGGGCGACCGCACGCCGCCGGCCAAGCAGCCGCCGCGGGCGGGATCCGGGTCGCCCGGACGCATCTCGTCGAGTCTGATCGACCCGGCACTGTCCGGGTCGGCGGCGGAGAACGAGGCGACGCTGCGCACGGCCCGGGCGGCAACCGAGGTGGCCGAGCGCTCCGAGGGCCAGTGGGTTGAGAAGGTACGGCTGATTGAGTACCTGCGCAACTACATCACGTCACGCCTGGAGCGCGGCGAGTATGAGGGGACGATGGCGGCGCGGGCGCGGACGTCGTCCTTCTCACCCGAGTCCGATGTGCACATGGACGGGATGGAGAGCTCGTCGCGCCAGCAAACGCCACAGCCGACGCCAAAGCGGGAGGAATCCCCGGTCAAAGCGGAGGCGGATGGGGGCGTTTTGTACCCTAGTTTGCGGGAGGTTGACGAAGATGGGGATTCAAAGATGCCTTGATTTTTTTTTCTTCCTTTTATTCACGTTCAATTTTTTGATCTGTTGACATGGACGTTACGAATTGCGGTGTTTCTTTTCTTTTTTTTCTTCCCAACTCTGTCATTCTTCTCTCACATTTGTAATTTCATTTTGATTCCCGGACCCTTTGGAGGAGCTGTCACTACCCAGCTAGGTATATCATTCATCATAACTATATGTCACTTTATTCAACAATCATCCCATCTACTCCAAAACCCCACCCCCTAGAAAGTAAGCAAGTGCCCCCATCTATAAGAGCCATCAAAACCTTAATTCCCCAAACCCGAAACACCACCTTCAAAAAGCAACAAGCAAGACGATCCCTCGCCCCAGACGGGACCCCATCCAGAACAGCCCGCAGCCCGCGCCAAAGACAAGACAGAACAAGACAAGACACGGGCCACACCAAACGAAGGAATCCAAGCCTGTCTGTGAATCCTTCATCCCATCCTTCGCTATGGGGTGATCAGCAGGGCGAGACAAAATCCGTCGGAAGCCGAATGCTTAGGATTGGTGGGATGTGAAATTGTAGGGGTAGAGATCTGCGTTGTTTGGGTCTTAGTTGGGGGGGGTTCAGCTGGGGTGTGTTGGAATTGGGGGGTTTGATGGCTTGATGGGTTGATTCTGGGTTGGGTCTTGGGGAGGTGGTGATTATGGTCCTTTATGGACTGTACTATACTATACTATACTTGGGATATGTACGTATGTATATGGAGGGTGGCAGTGTAGGTTAGGTACCTGGTAGGATCAATGGGTTGATACATATGTAGAGAGATGGATGGACTGGGATGGAGGTATAAAGATGGGGGTGGTCCTTCGTCGTTCTCTTTAACTTTCAAGATAATTGTTTATTTTTTATACTTCTTGATTGATGTGTTTTTTTGTCTAAGTGTTGATTCTGCTATACATACACAATGAAGGTCATCAACATCCTGGGTTTGGCTGCTTCGGCGGCGGTCGCTTCTGCACTTGCGGCCAACAATGGCTCTGATATTCAGAAGTTGCCGGCTAAGGATGTGATTATTGATTGTGATGGTTCGTTCTCTTTCTTCTTTCTTTCTTCTTTCTTTCTATTTTATCGTATCTTCTATTCTATCGTATCCTTGAATTACATACACACCTAACTATCCATCTCTCTCTCTCTCTCTCTCTATATATATACCTTCCAGCCCTCCCTACGTGTCTACAAAGCTAACAAAGATAATAGGCCCCGCCAAATACGACGGCACAGCAGTAACCGCCGCCGCCGAACAAGCCTGGAGCATGTGGCTCAAGGGCGAAAAGAAGGGCCACGACGACAACATCCCCGAAGCGCAGTACCCGCACAACAGCATCCCGCTGCAGTCCGGCGACCACTTCAAGAACGACTGCGACAACGACGCGGACACCGTGATCCAGTTCCCGATTATTGGGGACGGCGTGTATGATGGGAGCCAGGAGCAGGGGATGGATCGGGTTGCGTTGAAGGACATGGGGGATAAGAGGTCGGCGGTGTTTTGTGGGTTGGTTACTGAGCGGGTATGTTTCTCTTTTTCTTTTATCCCTTTATCCCTTTTTTTGGTTTTCTTCTTTTGGTTTTGTGTCTGTAAGATTGGGCATGCTGATGATTGTAGGATGCGGATGAGGCATCGCGTGGTATTTCGCAGTACCGCATGTGCTGAATTGATTCATGCTGTCGTCAAATTGTCAAGTCAATTCTTGTGGACGATTGACTATCCAACCCCGATTTATCTCAGAAATGGTTTTCATGACAATGCGTGTATTATTAATGTCATGTTTTGCTTCGGCTTTCGAGTCTTCCCTCGTAGCATCACCTTCTCTCAACCGTTTTCAATGTTTGTTGATCGTGACCTCTATATGTAACCTGCACATACTACCGTCTCCTGACAGATCCGACTCGATCTGTTGATCTGCCGATACGTTCCCACATTCCAGAGAACCGCACGCGGCGCATGACGCAAACAGCGATCGGGCTTAGATAATCGTCTATCCGGGCAGGATCCACAGGTGCCTGGTTTGTCGAGACTGCTCCATCCGGTTGTCTTCGTTCGGTCTGAAGAGGTGTAGTATTTAATGAAGGCCTCTGATCGCTGGACGAGGCTAGACCTGGATTGAAATTTCCGGTGTGGATTGCCCTTGGTGCAGGTTGCAGCAAGCTGCATCGGTCTCTCTCCACCGGCCTGGATGGTACCTGTTTTGATTCTGGAGTAGAGAGAGAGAGAGGGTCAAGATAGATGGATGGAACCCTGCACTCGGAAGGTTGCGTGCTGTCTGTAGTGGACTCTCTCTTCTCTTTTCTTCTCGCATTACCTTCTGGTTTTCTGGTTACTGTCTCGTCCGATGTATTAGTATGGGTTGGTAGGTAGTGTTGTTGTTTGTTGCGCGGTCCCACTCTCTGTTTACGGGGGGTGGAGTCTCTCCTTCTTTTCTCTCGATCCAAAAATGTAGATAATAAATAGAGGTCCCAATTCTTAAACCAATGTTTATCATCTGAAAGAAGAAACTAGAAGTTGAGAAGTAAAGAGAGTAAAGGAAGTAAAGAGAAGAATAACCGACCGTTCCCCACACGGAAGCGGTCACGCTCTGAAAAACACCGGCGCGTTATCTCATCATCATCCATTATCGTCAATTTATCATCATCTCTCTTCCTCTCTTCCACTCTCTCACCTCACTCCCTTTGTTTTTTCGCTCTTCACTCCTTCACCCAACCCCCACGTCTACCTACGGACTCTCCTGATCTCCATCTCAATCCATCTCCCTCCACCCCAGCTGTCCCGCCATCCCGCAACCCGCCAACCCGCCAACCCTCCAGCCACGCCCACTCGCGTCATTCCAGTGGCAAACCGTCCGCTGGTTCTTCCCTCGGCGCTTCCTTGGTTGACCTTTGGTGGCTCCTACTGCATCAATCCGCCAAACTCGCTTGTTTTTCTCGTCCTCGCTGTCACCCCTACGTCTTTCTTGCGTCTTCCCAGCTTCCTCCGTCTCCCTTCGTTGTGCTGGATATCGATCGCATCGCGCCACCATCACAAACATACAACGCATATCTCGAAAAGACAACACAAAGCCAAAGGCAACCCAACCGGACGATCGGACCGAACCAGAACAAATAAACAAAAACAAAAACAGAGAAAAAAAAATATCAGACCGGACAAAAAAAGGAAAAACGAAAACAGCCAAGATTTCGGTCAAAACCCTGGCTTCCTAGCAACCACCACCCATCATGCCTCTCTCCAACCGCCGTCGCGCGCGGCGCAAGGAAATTCAACTACAAGAAACGTCTGACGCAGAGGCGCCAGACTCCTCCCCTACTCGCCCCTCCCATAAGAAGCGCAAGGTAATCTACGTTGCGACCCTAGCCCTTGTAGCCCTGTGCTGACCCTGCTAGGTTGATCGGACTTCTCCCCAACCGCGTGCCGTCAAAGCCGAGTCCCCCGAGGAGCCGGACGGTTCATCCTTAGACCATGATCTGTCGGAGAATCAGGACCTGATGGATATGGTCATCTCATACCTCGATGTCGCCCGCGAAGAGGTCCGCGTGCTGCGCGACCACTCCAACTCCAAGACCGAAAACAAGCAGAGCATCCGTGCCTACGCCAAAATCGCCGGCCGCAACTGGACCTATTACGTCAAGACCCTCCATGTCAACATCGGCCGCGAACCCGACCGCGAGCAGAAGCTCGACGAGCAATCCAGTCCCGTCACCATCGCCGCGCGCGCGCTCCCCGAGGTCAATGTCGACCTGGGTCCGAGCAAGTTCGTGTCGCGCCTCCACGCCGAGATCTTTTACGACGGCGAGGACACAGCCGCGTGGCATATCCGCGTCAACGGTCGCAACGGCGTCCGCGTCAACAACAGCATCCTCAAGCGCGGCACCGACGCCATCCTCACCTGCGGCGACATCATCGAGATCGCCAATACTCAGATGATGTTCGTCACCCCCGGCGACAAGGCCACCATCCACCCCAGCTTTGTCGAGCGCGCACAGCGGCTGGCCAACGGGGAGGAGGACCTGGCCACCTGGGACGCCTCCCAGCACGCCCATCCCGCACCACACCCGACCGATGCCGCCACCCCCGGGGGTCCGGAAACCACCCCGGCCGCGCCCACATCCGCCGCCGCGCCGTCGCTGGCCCCGGCCCCCCAGTTCCTCAAACGCCAGGTCACGCCGCCGCCGCGGTCGCCGGACACGGCGGGAGCCCGCACCGCCAAGCAGTCGCCCCTGTACAACCGGGGGATGATGATGGAGAGTACGGAGGAGATCGACTACAGCAAAGATTCGGCCAAGGACCTGAAGCCGCCGTACAGCTACGCGACGCTGATTGCCCAGGCCATATTCTCCAGCGAGGAGGAGAAGCTGACCCTCAACAGTATTTACAACTGGATCATGGAGAAATATGCGTTCTACCGGCATTCCCAGAGCGGGTGGCAGGTAATTTTCTCCCCTATTCAAGCGTAAGTCTATCGCTTGTCTAACTTTCGTGTAGAACTCCATTCGACACAACCTCTCCCTCAACAAAGCGTTCCAGAAAGTTCCCCGCCGGACCGACGAACCCGGCAAAGGCATGAAGTGGCAGATCGCACCGGAATACCGCGAGGAGTACTGGAAGAAGCAGCTCAAGAAGGGCACGCAATCGTCCGCGCCCTCGTCGCCCGCGACCAAAGACTCGACGCGGGGCAACGGTCTGGAAGCGGTGTTCCTGGCCGGCAAGAAGTCACCGCCGGTGTCGTCGCCCGGGTTCAGTTCGTTCCCTGTGGCGCCAGTCGAGGCGTACACGCCGGAGCGAGGCTCGCGAGCGTCCCGCAACGGAGCGCAGTCGCTGCGGCCGCCACCGCCGATCCGAGACTACGAGGAGCCATCACCCCTGCCGGCGCGGACTGCCGCCAAGCAGGGCAACGGCGCGGGGCTGCGGTACGGGATGTCAGACCACGCCGTGGGATCACCGCCGGTCCTGTCGTCGTCGTATTACGACGAGGGGCCCTCGTCCATGATCACGCCGGCGCCACAACGGCAACAGCCACGCCTCCCGCCGCCGAGCACAGCGCAGATCCCGTCCAAGTTCATGCCGATGAGCTCACCGGCGCAGTTCTGGAAGTTTGCCGACATCGGCAGCACGCCCGCGCGACCAGTCCCGGACATGAGTCCCTTGAAAGGGGATTTGGGTGATGGACTGGGTAGTATCCCGAGTAGTAGTCCGCCGCCGCCGAACCTGGCTAGCCCGAGCAAGCCGGGGACGCTGAACGGCGTCGGTCACGGCCGGTTACCATCTCGACATGACGACGGACGACCGGGGACAAATGGGTCGGGGCGATTGGATGAGGAAGAAGAGGATGACGGAGGATTTGATCTGGCACGGTGAGTCTTATTCTTATTCATCTTTTATACCGTGAAATGTAGACTGACAAGCCCAGGGGCTTCCAACCGATCGGGTCATACCATCGACAGCTGAACAACGCGGCGCGGGCGAGTGCCGCGACGTCGTAGACTCTGACCGATGAAGATAATGCATTAAGCCCGATGAAATGTAATGATGATGACTGGACGTGGATAGAGGAGCATGGGTGGCATTCATCTAGTGCTCGCTGAGCTGATCTATGTACGAGCGAATATTACGATTAATAGTCTGATCTACCCTACACTTCAATCCATGTTCATTATTTAATTCAAACATGTTACATATAACACACTACAATGATAAAGTAAGGCATGATAGGTAAATCACTCAACATCGGGCCAAAACCTCTCCTCCAACCACACAACCTGCCTCCACCATTTTTCACACTTTCCCAACATACCATCCACATCATCCTCTCCCCCACCACCCTGCCCTCCCTCCCCCAAAGAAGATAACCCCTCGCACTCAGCAACAAAATCAACAACCTCCCCAATCCTCCCCACAAACTCCTCGAACTCCACACTCGCCCAATTGGGAATTAGCCTGCGCAGGGCTCCTCCGTCCGCATCTTCCCCACCATCAGCGTTATTACCCCGCAACCGCTCAGACAGAATAGAGGCAGCATGCCTCCAAGCCCGCAAATAGCAAAGCTCCGTCGCGTACAGCACGACCAATCCTTCAAGAAGAGACGCTGTGGGGCTTGCAGAGGAAGCTATGAAGAGGTCGGTGTAGGATTGGGTCGTTGGGTTGGGGCCTTTTTCCCTTTCTTCATTGTTGGTGGTGGTGGTGGTGGACGACCCCGCTGCAGAAGAAAGGGTAGGGAAAGAAGTATAGGGCGTTAGATCGAGACCGTATTCATCAGCGATAGAACCGAAGAATGCTAGCTCGGTGAGAATGTTGGATAGGCACGCTGAGAGGGTGGATGCTGCGCTTTGGTGCGCTTCGGTTTTCTTTTCCTTCTGTTTCTGCTTCTCGTTCTCGGCCGCCTTCTGCGAGGGGGGGAGCACGGGCAGGTCGATTTTGGAGAGGAGGTGCCCGATGAAGCGGATGTAGGTCTGCGCGTAGAGTCGGTCTTGGGCGAGCCAGGCGGAGAGGAGATGTGTTGGGATTGTGCCTTTGCCGGCGGAGGTTAGGAAGGGGTGGGCGATTGCTTTGGGGGTTGGGGGGTGGGTGTTGAGGAGGTGGGTTGTTAGGGTCATTTTTGTAGATTCTTTTTGTGCCTTCTTTGGGTTGTGTTTGGGTGAGTGGGTGTCGGTGTTGGTGTTGTTGGTGGTGGTGGTGGTGGGATAAAAGATGTTGTTGATGTGGGGTATTTGCTTATCGGGTGGGTCTTGAGTCTTCATGCATTATCTCATTTAGTATGGAGTATTCGCAGATCATTCATCATCACACTGAAGGATAAGTACTTTATAACTTAATGACAGCGGTTATCCTCCAGTCTTCGTCGGAATCACTCCATCCCACCTCCACATCATCCCCAACATCGCCTCCATCGCATACCGCGCATCATTCCCCCCATTGTGCAGGTACCATCCCTCGATGCCCACTTCCAGCAGGACTGCCCCCAGCGACCGTGTGGCCGTCTCGCCTTGAATCACCTTGAAGAACTCCGCTGTATCGACAACGTCGGCGAAGAATGGCTTCCCCCCCTCTCGCAGCACAGGTACCCCCAGCTTGCGCAGGTATGTCTCCTCCATGCCTGTGCTGTGGGCGACCAGGATGAGCGTGCGCTCTCCGTCTTCTGCCCCAGACGGAGCTTGGAAGCAAGCCCGCACCCTATCCCCCAGCCGGTCCAAGTCAACCCACTCGCTTGATCCAAACTGGAAGTCTTTCGGACAACCCGGGACGAAGTCGTGGTTCACGATGTGTCCGTGCTCGCGGACGCGCAGGTGCCGGGACTTAATGAGGCGGCGCCAGTAGCTGCAGTTCTCGCCGGGAGGCACCCCGACCAGGTCCCGCGTGTCGAGCACCGAGATACCGACCTCTGTCACTTGGCTGTGGCAGCGCTCGTTGCACTCTATGTCGATGCTGATGAAGATGGGGTCTTTCCAGAAGGGGTGGGGGGTGGGTTGGTTTTCATCCACTGCCTCTCTTTTTGTATCAGGGGGCTCTTGGTTTTCGACCGGGTCTCCGCCTGGAGAATCTTTTGGAACAATGGAATCCCCGCGTAGACCGATATATCTTTGTAGCCGCTGTAGACAAACGATACGGTCGCGCTCTTTCTGCACCCGCCGCGCCATCCTCTCTTTCGACACCTTGGTACGTTTGCCTTTGGCAGCTTCCCAGCCTGACTCGAGCATGGCCGCATAGGCTAGATACTCATCATCTGGGGCGGAGACCTTGTGCTCAGGGACCAAGCTGGCGGGGATGTTGCCCTCCAGCTGTTCTTTATCCTCACGGCTGGTACTCTGACCCAAAAACACAGGAAACGGGAAGGCATGGGTTGTAAAATCAAGAACGAAGTTCTGGGTCGGGAAGGCTAGGGCAGATCCAAGCGAGTTGTTGATTTCGTGCAGCAGATGGCGGGCCTGGGTGGCGGGAACCAGCAGCAGATGTCTCACAGTCTGTTGGTTCTGCGGCCGGAGGTGGATGTAGTACCTGTATCCCAATTAGATGGTTTCACTGTGGGAGGTAGGGGACGTACAAATCCCACTGGCGCTTCCAGAACAGCCCGCGTTCGAAGAATCGATTTGCCACTTTGTCTCTCGTTTCTCCTTGGAGAAACTTGTATGGGTATTTTGAGAGCGCGAGGAGGGGACAAAAGATGCCATCGCTGGGGATGGAAGGGGTTGCCACTGGCGATTCATCCAGAACAGTGGGTGCTGGGTGTGTGCTCATCTCTGGGAGGACCGGGCTGGGTGGCTCGTCTTCGTTGTCTGCAGCTGGCAGGGGCTTCCTGAGGCCAGTGTTGAGCTGTAAGAGATGCCCATCATGCTCGAAGAGAAACTTGAGTCGGGAGAGTTGGTCCATGGTGATGGTAGATGGGAGGGAGATATTGGATGTGGATAGTGATGACGAGCGAATGAAGTAGAGATGGAGAGAGAGATAGAAGAAAAGTGCGAAGGACAAAGGACAAGGAGATGATGAGAAGAAGATGAAGAGAAATGAAGAGAAGAGAAGGAAACCGAAGAGAAAAGATGAAACCCCAGGCCCTCAGGCAAGGACAGGCACACCATCTACAAACAATAACTTGCTCGGTTTTCTCTTAAGAGTAGACTGCGATTTCTTGGGTACAACAATGCAACCCTTCAAGAATCAAGAACAATGCTAGGCTCGTGCTAATAGAAGTTCTCGTATGCCATACCCTTCCTCATTCACTTCAGGTCATGCAACGAAAATACGATTCAAACAGATCAACTCACATCGATAATCAGGCAGCCGAACGGAGTAGAAACCGAAGCAAGTGTCGGAGAACAACATTTCCATTGCCTGACTCATCCAGATTGTTACGGAAGATCTTACAAGTCCTGCGTGAATAGTCACGCAGGTCCTCTAGGCTGTCGAATTGTCGTACCCCGTCGCCATTCCGTCCCCTGCGAGCCCAGTCGATTAGATCCACAATGTTGACATACAATCCTCTTACAACCTATCACATTCAAGTTAGTTCCATGCTGAACAGGGTAGTCTAGCTTGAAGTACCTTCTGGCATCCATGGCAGGTTGTGGGTAGTGGAGCGACATTCACAGCCGTACAAAGTGAATGCCAAGCACTGAGGTCATCCTCCGATCCAAACCACAGGTTGAACTCCTCTGCAAGGGCACTTTGGTAGTCAATCCAAGCGCGTTTAGATTCGGGATCATCTCTGTCCCAATCATAATACCTCTGGAGACGCCTATACGACTCGGCAGGGGGTAAGCTTGGATCGAAATCGAACCTTGCGAAAGATAGGAAAAATGCGTTTAAGGGCGTCGATGAGACTCCGGAATGTGCAGACGAGTCTCGTACATGCTGATCGAGCGCGTCCAGACTACCGAAAGGCCGATTGCAGAGCTCGCAATCATAGGTTTGCGCATGTGCAGGCGAATCTCGTGTGTGCTGGTCGAGAGCCTCCTGGCTGCTGAATGCTCGATTGCAGAGTCCGCAATCATAGGATGGAGCATGTGCAGGGGAGGCTTGTGTGTGTTGATCGAGAGCCTCCTGGCTTCCAAAGGACCGATTGCAAAGTCTGCAGTCATAGGACGGAGCATGTGCAGGGGAGTTTTGTATGTGTTGGTTGAGAGCCTCTTGGCTTCCAAATGACCGATTGCAGAGCCCGCAGTCATAGGTGAGTGCATGCGCAGGGGAGTTCTGAAAATGCTGATCAAGAGCCTCCTGGCTGCCAAATGATCGATTGCAGAGCTCGCAGTCATAGGTCTGTGCATGTGCGGGCGAATCTCGTGTGTGCTGGTCGAGAGCCTCCTGGCTGCTGAATGCTCGATTGCAAAGTCCGCAGTCATAGGACGGAGCATGTGCAGGGGAGTCTTGTGTGTGTTGATCGAGAGCCTCCTGGCTTCCAAAGGACCGATTGCAAAGTCTGCAGTCATAGGATGGAGCATGTGCAGGGGAGTTCTGGACATGCTGATCAAGAGCCTCCTGGCTGCCAAATGATCGATTGCAGATATTACAGCCATATACCAGAGTGTGTGCAGGCGAGTCTCCTATATGCTGCCTGAGAGCCGCCTGATCGCCAAACGAGCGATTGCAAAGGTCACACCAGGCCATCTGTAACAGTTCAAAGATATTCTCTGTAACAACCCTGTATACCACTGTTATCTCAAGGTTTGTATTTTTCTTTGCTTGGAACGCTGAATCGCCGTCATGTAAAGATGGTTAAGGATAGGTGACTGTCAAGTCTGAGCTGGTCAAGTTCTTCTTGATTCTTGCACCGGATGAGGTGAAGATGTGGGAATAGCAGGGTTATATACTATTAGTGATGAGTCGATGTGTAGGGGTCCATATTGGACCCCTCAGCATCTGTACGGTGCGGCGCAAACAATTTGCCATCGGAGTATGAGGCAGTGTTCACCTGTGCAAACTGATCCCAGCTTAATTGCCAGTGACACGTAGCAACCATACACAGTGATTAGCTTGCAATGACGTGACTGCGGCCAACGCTACTAAGCGCCGCAATGTGCATCAGGCTGCGGCGGCTCGACACAGAGCTTGAAATTTTAGCCACAGGTTTAGGTTGCCAGGTCGTACTGTTCCTGGATGACCTGAGTCCATATAATGATTGGATACTTTGATCAGATGGGGATCTGCCTCTGCTCTAGAGATCACGGTTGCCTAGCCCAAATTCCGTGGGTCAAGACTCAAGCATAGGGACAGCTTAGTCTGGTTTTTGTCATGGTGATTGTAGGGGCAAGTAATGACGTTGGTCTTTCATTGACAAGTAGATATGATAGATTATATCATTCTTGATCTAGGATGAGTGCTCCCCAAGTTAGCCTAGACGAAGGATATGCAGCGGCTATTGCCTACGGTCCCACATCCATACTATTTACTCCGTGGTTCATGATGAGATATATATAGATGCCTGAGCCGGCAGGATGTATGAACTTTCTAGCGTTCTTGATATATGAAGCACAATGCCGTAGATCAAATTGACGCGCTGATGGGTTATATTCAAAAAAAAAAAAAAAAAAAAAAAATCATGTATAGAAATAAGACACGAGTTGATGTCGACCAGATCAAAAGATCGTTGAATGGAGCGACGGATCATGTGACATGGGAATCCGATGGTAACGTTACTGTATTGCGATAATACCGGGCCGACCATGATCCGGGGAGCTGGACTTGTTGATCGCGATGGAGATGAAGTTATTCAACTTCAACTTCCACCTTCAAGCTCGACCTTGTTTCCTTCTTTTCTTGATATCTTTCATCATTGCCTTCCACTCGTTCATCAACTATTTTTCGTCCGACCATCAATCCATGATAGATTCATCCATGGCTGTCCCCCCTTCTCTGTTGCCGTCCTAGACCCCCCTGATCACAAATCACCACCATCACCGACCGTACATTGCCCATGAGATTAACCATGGGTGATTACCACGATACCTCCGGGGGTGTCATCCTGGACGGCCCCTTTGACCCTGATGCCCAGGCCACAGTGACAGATTACATTGACTACACCGAATACCTGCCCGCAGACCTTATCCGCTCCCTCACCCTCATCCGCGGCCTCGACGAACGCTATCTAGACTCCGCCCAGAATGTCCACGACCTCACCAACACGTATGGCCACCTGCCTGACCTCCCCACTGAGGCTCGCCCTGATGCGCGCACCTTGCGCCGAGACATCTCCTTCCAGCTGGATCGCGCCATTAACGCGCGCGAGTCGGCTTACGCAGAGGCCTGCCGCTTGTACGACGTGGTCGACCGTCATTTCGTGCGCCTGGACTGTATCCGACAGAAGCTCGAAGTCCTACCCAAGCCCTCCTCCCGCGAGCCGACCCCGCCACCGGCCCCCGTCGCCACCGGCAAGCGTCGCTCTAAGAAAGAAGAAGAGCGACCCACTCCGCCGACGCGCATCACCCTACGTCTCGACGGCCAAAACAACTCCCGCGCGGGCTCCGCTCGACAGAAGTCGTCGCGCACGCGTCGCTCCCTCATCTCCGCCGATCACCTCATCGGTCTACACCCGGACTCCCCCATCGCCAGCACCGAACACTCGGACGCGGAGGCTGATTCCAAGGAAGAGCCATCGGAGTCGCCCCCGGCGCCGGTCAAGAAGAACAAGGACAAGCGGAGCCAGCGCGCGCGCACCTCTGGGTCAGCCGGCGCTCAGAATGGCGGATCTGGCATGTCGATCAGCAACGCGCTGGCGATGCTCAAGCCGCCGCCGGAGGATGCCCGACCAGGCAGTCCGGATATGCCGTGGCTGCGGCTGACGGAGTGGGAGATGACCAAATTGCGCAAAAAGATGAAGAAGAATGCGATCTGGCAGCCGAGCGAGGTGATGATCCATCGAGAGCTGGCGCTGCGCGGACGCGGCTGGGAAGCCTACCGGGCGGCCAAGATGCAGGCCGAGGCGACGGGCACGGAATTTATCGATTGCGACGACATCAAAAACACATACCCGCAGGGGAAGTCTGGGGAGGGGGGCCCGGATCTCGAGGGCATTTTCGAGACCAAGCTCAGCAACCGTGGCATGAAGTTAAACGAGGCCAAGAAGCTCAAGCGCGAGAACCAGGCGCGCGAGCAGGCGGCGGCGGCGGCAGCAGCGGAGGCGGCGATAGCCAAGGGTCTTCCCATCCCGCCGATGCCCGCCATCTCCGTCTCCCCGACCAAGGAAGACAAGTCGGGCCGGCCGACGCGCAAGAGGAGGCGGGAGGACAGTCCGCTGCTCGAGATCCCCGAGGTGGAGACGCGGTCGGCGCTGCGCAGTTCTGCCAAGCGCCGCAGGGGCACGCGGGAATCCCCCACACCGCCGGAGATCAACGTCTCGACGGGCGACGCTACGGTAACTACCTCCACTACGACCGTGGTGCCTGTGGCCGCAACTGAACAACCCTCCGAAGCGCGACCGTCCCCCCCGCAGCCGTCCCCGACCGGATCGAAGCGATCCACGTCCATCGCCAGGGTGAAGGAGGGCCCGACCATCACGACTCGAGCGACTGGCACCCCACCGACGACTCAGACCCCGTCGCGCCGTCGGTCGGCCGCAGCCTCAGCGGAACCCGTATCGTCCGTGATTGCCGCGGCCGGCCGCGAGCTGCGCCGGAAGAGTGCCACGCCAGCCCGGCGGACCCCCGTGCCCGAGGCGCCGACCAGCGTCCCGGGACGACGGCGCAAGCGACCAGCGCCGGGGCCAGTCTCCTCGGGACAGAACGGCGGCGCCGCAGTCAGTTACGGGCGACGCAAGGCGAAGCCGACCAAGAAGCGGGTAAGCTCGCGAGATCCGGGATCCGAGGGCGGACAAACGCGCGAGGATATCCGGATCGACGAGGACGGGGTGGTCGAGGAGATCGACCCGCACGAGCCGCGGTACTGTCTCTGCGGGGACGTGAGTTTCGGGACGATGATCTGCTGTGAGAATCAAGACGTGTGTTTCCCCCCTTTCTTTCCGGTTTCCAGACAGCCTTGCTAATCTAGGCAATCAAGTGTGACCGCGAGTGGTTCCACCTGCATTGTGTGGGCCTATCGGAGGTACCCAGCCGGACGGCGAAATGGTATTGTCCCGACTGCCGGGTCAGATTCAACAAGGGGACGGATGGGATAATCAAGACCGGGCTGAGGAGATGAATGTCTGCTCTCTGATCTACGAGTGATGTCTTTGCGGTATTTCGGAGTTCGGCAGCGAGGCGTTGGTACTACACTACATATCAGGGTTACATTACTTTATTACATTTTCTTTCAACGAGACATATCCAAGTATAACATAACAACAGTAGGACACATACAGTATAGTATAGTAATAAAGAAGGAGCAAAAAAAGAGAACTACACCAACTCCCACTCCCCACTCTCCCCACCCACAATCTGCACCGACCTCCCCCCCTCATCCAACGACCTCCTCCCCGCCTCCAAGATCGCCGTCGTAGCCACCGTATTCTTCAGCGTGGGAAGCGGCCTCGCGTCCAGCTGATCGAGCGTCACCCGGCCCTCATTGAGCGCCGTCACCGCGTCGATGAACTTCTCGAAACTGATGTAGCCGTAGCCGGTTTGGCCGCCGAAGTTGCCTTCTTCGTCGGGGGCGTATTTCATGTAGAACCTTATTAGAACGTTAGTATCGTGTCTCTCTTGTGGGAGTGTGTGGGAGAGGGTTGGGAGGGACGTACGGATTCACCCAGTTCAGGCCCTGCTCGTCTTCGGTGACGTCGTAGCCGCGTTTGGCTTGGTTGATGCGGATTTCGCCTTTGGAGCCCATGTCTGGTAGATATTGATTAGCGGGGGTATTATATGAGTAGGTAGGTAGAAAGGGGGCAGCAATGCTGAAAAAAAGAAAAGAAGAAGGGGACATACAATGGAAATACTGATTCGAATGCACACCCGCCCGCTGCGGCGCCGTCCAACTAGCCGTATAAACAGCGGTGGCAGAGCGGGCAGCGTCCTCTATCTTCTTCCAGTCGACGAGCAAGGTGATAGTGTCCTCCGTCTGCGGGGCGCATCCCAAGTCGACAGCGACGCCGGACGAGGCAGACGCCGTGACGCGGACGGGCACATATCCAGGGACCATGCTGTGGCAGATATCGACGTGGTGTGAGTTCAGGTAGTAGGAGATATCGCTCTGGGTGCCTGCCCAAGCGCGGAACGTCTCGAGCTGAGCCTTGGGCTGGCTCATGTAGCTGTAGAAGTAGTTGAAGTCGCCGAGGGTGGCGGCGCGAGCGCGGGCGTCGGAGTAAGCGGGGTCGAAGCGCTTGTGGTGCTCGACGAAGACGAAGACGTTGTGTGCGCGCGCGGCATCGACGAGCTGGCGGTGGTGCGCGAGGGACTGGGTGGCGGGCTTGGTGACCAGGACGTGGTGGCCGCGTTGGATGGCGTAGAGGGCGATCTCGAAGTGGGTGGGGTCGGGGGTGAAGATCGTGACTGCTGAGCCCTGGGGGAGGGCGTCGATGGCGGCTTTGTAGGCGTCTGGGTCGGATTGCGTGTCGGAGGGGTAGGAGGTGAAGGAGACGTCGAGGTTGTTGTAGACTTGGTTGATGTTTTGGTGCAGGTGCGCGCGGATGCCGGGGAATTTGGACCCTGAGACGCCGGCCATGCTGAGGGCGCCGACTTTGCCGCGCCGGCGCAGGTCGAAGAGCGTGAGGCCGACTACGCCGACCTTTTTGTCCGACTTGGAGGCGCTGCCGCCGACGTAGCCGGTGGTGTATTCGCCGGTGCCGACCTGTTGTGATCAGCTTGTGGGTGATGGTGGGGTTATGGAGGGGTGTTGTACATACCATCAAAACATTGGGAGGGGCCATGGTGAGTTGTTGCTGCAGTTCAATTGTGGATGGAGATTGAATTGGACGAGTTGGAGGGAAGTATAGCAGATTTATAAGTCCAATTCCAGCACGAACAGCAGCTTCATGCGATGATAGATGGAAGATTCCGATTCCGCTTGATATTTATAGCGTCACCCTCGGCAATTGACTATAGAATACCGTCGGCAACTGCCACCCGGGCCTCTGATTGGGGGAGAATTGAATCTCCGTGTGGGGTACATTTCCCCGGTGGTATAACTGTTGATGGCGGGGTATTGACTTCGAGATTCTTTATATACCAGATACACTTCCCTTCTCTCTACTTCCCACGACTATAGCATTCTGTTAAATCATATCTATCACCAACTCAGTGAAAATGACTCCTCTCCGTCCCGGGGTTTACGCCCCCACAATGACCTTCTTTCACCCCCACTCCGAAGAGCTCGACATCCATACCATCCGCGCCCACGCCGTCCGCCTCGCCAAAGCCGGTCTCGTCGGCCTAGTCTGCATGGGCTCCAACGGCGAAGCCGTCCACCTCTCCCGTCCCGAGCGACAGATCGTGATCCGCGAGACGCGCGACGCCCTCGTTCGCGCCGGCTTCTCCGCCGTGCCCGTCATCGCCGGAGCCAGCGAGCAGAGCATCCGCGGCACCATCGAGCTCTGCCGCGAGGCGAGCTCCGCGGGCGCCGAATACGCCCTGATCGTCCCACCAAGCTACTACCGGACGGCAGTGGGCAACGACAAGACCCTATACGAGTACTTCACCGCCGTGGCCGACCAGTCGCCCATCCCGCTCATCCTCTACAACTACCCGGGCGCCGTCGCCGGCATCGACATGGACTCGGACCTGATCATCCGCATCTCGCAGCACCCCAACATCGTCGGCACCAAGTTCACCTGCGCCAACACGGGGAAACTGACCCGCGTCGCGACCGCCATGGGCGCCATCACCCCGTCCTCGCCGTTGATGCCGCAGCAGACCGGCGCAGATCCGTCCGCCCCGCCGTACGTCGCCTTCGGTGGCATCGCGGACTTCGCCCTGCAGACGCTGGTCTCGGGTGGGTCGGCGATTTTGGCGGGCGGGGCGAATGTCCTGCCGCGTCTGTGCGTGCACGTGTTCAGCCTCTGGGAGGAGGGGCGGTTTCTCGACGCGGTGCACGCACAGAAGATGCTGAGTGATGCGGACTGGGTGCTCACGCGGACGGCCATCCCGGGGACGAAGAGTGCCTTGCAGAGCTACTACGGGTATGGGGGATTCCCGCGTCGGCCGCTGGCACGGCTGGACGAGGCCGAGGTGAAGAGTGTGGCGGATGGGATTGGGGAGGCGATGGCGTTCGAGAGGACGCTGCCGGATGTGTCTTCATCGGCTGACTGAAGGTTCTATGCGGTGTCTGATATACTGTGTCAATGGCTCCAAGTAGGAAATCTTGATACGAGTGTTTAGCGTAGCGTACTATTCAATTTGGTTTAGGGTGTAGCATCTTAATCCACACTCGTATTCATTTCCACACTGGAAATTACTACTCTACTCATCATTCAAAGACGAATCCGTGTCATCAGTAAATCGACAGGCACCATTGATATATCTATAAATACATGCTGAAATCAGCAACTGGCCTGCCTGGATATACAGGGATTCAACCCGTGACCGGTAAGCCCTAACTCACCGAACCGGTACAACACGCACACCTACATAATCCTTCTGACCTAAGAATAAACAAATAAATAGGGGCAAAAAAAATGCAACATGAATACATTCCTATTGTGACCCAAAGCCAGCTGGGCGCGACCAGTTCAGACGCGAGTGGAGCACCATCGTGGATCGACCATCTGCTTCCCGCCCCCGTGGGGACGCCAATCCTCCCTCGTACTACTCCGTAATCCTGAAAGACCGAGGAGGGATCAATCCATCACGACGGATTGGGATGATTCCAACCTGACGAGAGGTTGGTCTCAGCATCCGGCCTTCCTCCGGATGATCCCATCTCTCCATCATAATTAGGTAGCGGTACCTAAGTCGAGTTTGGTTGGGCTGAGGCAGCCAGACGAATCGGACACTCCCATTCAGACCCCAGTTGAGAGGCGGACCAATCTCGATGGTTGGTGGACCTTGAGTCAGATCAAACAAACTTTTCCCTCCTATTATTCAGACGGGGTTATACCCAATTCATCCTGATTCCATATGGCGAAAAAAAAAAAAAAAGAAAACCAAATGAAGCAGGCCGATTGACACATGGATCAGAAGGAATGGGGAGGCAAATTCCATCTCACCGCCCACTCCATTTGGGCATCTCCTTTTTTTTTTTTCCCTTCCTCACTTTTCCTTGTACTTTTATATCTTTCTCTCTCTCCTGTTTGTTTCATTTCCTTTTCTGCAATCTCTTTCGTATCGGTCTGATTTGGTTCGTCCTTTTGGTTGTCATAGCGTTGTCCGGTTCTTATTGTCCCTTTCTTTTTCCCGGCTGGGATTCTTTTCCTCTCTTCCTCTCTCTCTCTTCCTCCTACTCTCTCTTTTCATCCTCTCTTTTTTGGTGTTGCTCTCCCTTTTTTCGACCTTTCTTTCATCCTATCTCCGGTCTCGACCACCCCATTGTTCAGTCGTTCAACGTCTCCTCCCTCGCTCGATCCTCCCCCTTGCTTCCTCCCCCCGCTTATCGCGTCTCTCACCGCTGGAGAGAAGGCAAAAAAAGGGGTTGACACCTCCGTCACTATAATTACCACCCTATCGAGACCGTGATCTTCCTCCGTTTCTTCCTATCCGATCGAACGACGCCTACGATGACTCCCCGAGATTCGACCGCGGCTTCGTCCCGCCGACGACCTTCCCTCTCCACCAAGCCTCGACCACGGACCTCAGCCTCGGCCGCGCCACCCACCACCGTGGTGGAATCCGACCTGTGGAGCGGGGTGCCGGTGCTGGATCCCCGCGACGATGAGACTGAAGTGCTGGAAGACATGAACTGTTTTCCCGACGGCGTGCCGCGCCGTCGGAAAACCAAGAGCTTTTCCAACATGCGCCACCCGGTCGATGGACTGCGGGCGCTGGGCCGTCGTCTGTCCGTCAGCATTCGCAACAAGTCGTCCCGCCACTCTGTCCAGCCCTTGGACTCCTGCCACGACTCGGGCTCGGACAGCTGGGATGCTGGGGTCCGAGACGCCGCCGTGAGCCGCCGTGCGTCCCTTAGCAGCGTGGCCGGGTGGCAATACTATGCCCCCATTGCCGTACCCATCCCCGGCAGCGGTCGGGCACCCCCCATTCTTCCCCAGAATATCTACGCCGGGTCCGCGGCGCGCGCCGCCGCGGCCGCCCAGAACGAAATGGCCCGCTCGGAACGGGATGGCACCAAATTGGCCGATCCCAACCGCTTGACGCTTGATTCTGAGAGTGGCATCGGCATCGATCTCCGGGATCGGTCCGAGGGCTCCGACGTGGACCTGGCGGTTGTGCGCCTGGATCCGGTGACCTTCCTGCCGCCCGAGATCATGTCACAGGTGCTGGCCTGCCTTGACCCGCCATCCCTCATGCAGGCGGAGCTGGTGTCTCGATCGTGGAGTGAGCAGGCCTCCTCCCGCCACATCTGGCGCCAGGTGTTCCGGCGCGCCTACGGCCACCATCGCCCCAGTGGCCTCTCCTCCAAGAGGAAGCAGCCCGCCGGCCTGGGTCGGCCCGTGCCCAACCAAGATTGGAAGCGCATGTTCCTGGTCCGCCGCGCGTTGGAGCACCGCTGGAAGAAGGGCAAGGCCGCCGCCATTTACCTTCAGGGGCATACAGACAGCGTGTACTGCGCACAATTTGATGAGTATGTATCTCCCTCTTTTCATTAGACCTTGGACCGTGGACTCATAATTTTTTTTTCAGAGACAAGATCATTACAGGCTCCCGCGACCGCACCATCCGCGTGTGGGATGCCCACTACCCCTGGCCCTGCCGCAAAGTCATTGGACCTTCCCCCGCGGAGGTCCCCGGGACGGGCCCGGTCAACAACCCGACCCAGCAGACGTCGGGCACGCCGCCCTTTCTGACCATCCACCCGCCGCCCACGCAGTCAGCGGGTCCCGTGGCGCCCATCGAGGGGACGGATGATCACCACAGCGCGTCGATCCTCTGCCTGCAGTTCGACGAGGAGATCATGGTGACGGGATCGTCGGACTACACGTGCATCGTGTGGGACATCAAGCAGGACTACCGGCCGATCCGGCGGCTGAGCGGTCACCGCGCCGGCGTGCTGGACGTCTGCTTCGACGACCGGTACATCGTGTCGTGCTCCAAGGACACGACCATCTGCGTCTGGGACCGGGCGACGGGGGCGCTGGTCAAGAAGCTGCTGGGCCACCGCGGCCCCGTCAACGCCGTGCAGCTGCGCGGCGACCTGGTGGTGTCGGCCAGCGGCGACGGCGTGGCCAAGCTGTGGAACATCGCGTCGGGCCTGTGCGTCAAGGAGTTCCCCAGCAAGGACCGCGGGCTGGCTTGCATTGAATTCAGCGACGATGCGCGCACCATCCTGACGGGCGGCAACGACCAGGTGATCTACCAGTTCGACGCCAACACGGGCGACATGGTGCGGGAGCTCGAGGGCCACGGCGGGCTGGTGCGGTCGCTGCACCTGGACAGCGCCAGCCAGCGCATCGTCAGCGGCAGCTACGACATGAGCGTCAAGGTCTTTGACGCCGAGACGGGCGAGCTGTCCATAGACCTGCCGGGCTGGACGACCAGCTGGATGCTGAGCGTCAAGTCGGACTACCGACGCATCGTGGCTACGAGCCAGGACTCGCGCACGGTGATCATGGATTTTGGATATGGATTAGACGGGATAGAGCTGTTAGAGGAGGGATCCTGATTAGATTTTTTTTATTTTTTATTTTTTTTTCATTTTCTATCATTATTTTTGGATACAGTGATTGGCCTAACAAAAGTCTGGGCGTTTTGGCGGGAGTTTTCAGGCGTCTGATTGATCTCTGTTTTTCTATCTTACCATTTCACTATCTACTTATCTTGGTTAGTTGAATCTAGACCGTTGTGATTGTGGCATTGAAACCACCGTAGGAGGAAATCGAGTATGATCGAGTATAATCGAGTAGATCGAGTATGAGATGCATGCCTCAGGCCACAGAAATATCGCCCAAAGCGGCTAGCGCGGGAGCCAAACAACAATCACGCTGGATGCCAATCCCGACTAATAATAATCACCCTTCACGTTGATCCCGTTTTTCCCTCCTCTTCCTTCCCATCTCTCGTCTCTCCCCTGACTTTCAATCCCCTTCTCTGCTCCACTCTCCGCCAGACCGGGTGTGTCATCTATCTTTCTGGGTTGATTCCGTCCCATCCATTCCATCCACCGTTTCCGGGCCCCCTATTCTCGTTTGTTTGTTTGTTTATTTATTTCCATTTCCATTACCCCACCATGGGCGAGTCTAGGTTTGTCCCCCGTGATCCCACGATCGGTTGAGATGTCCGGGTTACTGATGGATGAATCAGACAAGAGCTGCTGGCGTGGGTGAACAACCTGCTGCAGCTGAACATCACCAGGATTGAGCAATGCGGAACTGGGTACGTTGGATGTTGGGAAGAGGGGGAGGATATCGATAGGAAGCGGGCTGGAATGTGAGGGTTGGGGGCTAATGATGACCATTACAGTGCTGCGCTCTGCCAGATCTTTGACTCGATTTTCAGTGAGTGATGGTCTATCTATTGTTGGAGATGGGTTTTACTGACTGGTTTGTAGTGGATGTCCCCATGTCTCGAGTCAAGTTCAGCGTGAACACCGAATACGCCTATCTCCAGAACTTCAAGATCCTCCAGAGTACGTCTCTACTGATTTACCTATAAAGACGCCGCTAACTGGATAGATGTGTTCGGACGCCACCAGGTCGACAAGCCCATCCCCGTGGAGTTGCTCTCCAAATGCCGCATGCAGGATAACCTGGAGTTCCTCCAGTGGACCAAGCGATACTGGGACCAGCACTACCCCGGCGGGGACTACGACGCCGTGGGCCGCCGGAAGGGAGCCGGGGCACCGGCCGTCGGAGCGCCCAAGCCTCGCGCGGGCGCGACGTCGGCGAGCAGTGCCCGCCGGGGCATGACCCCGACGGGCGGAGCAGCGCGGCCGCGGGTGGCGGCGGCGGCGGGGCCCAACACGGCGGCGCTGCAGCAGGAGATCGCGACACAGAAGGAGGCGATCACGGGGCTGGAGAAGGAGCGGGACTTTTACTTTGCCAAGCTGCGGGATATCGAGGTGCTGCTGCAGACGGCGATCGAGGCGGATCCGGAGCTGGAGAAGGATGACGACTCGTTCGTCAAGCACATCCAGGGCATCCTTTACTCCACTGAGGAGGGGTTTGAGATTCCGGCCGAGGGTGAAGAGGCTGAGGGGGTGGCTGACGAGCTGGAGACGTTTTGAGCCGGCGTATTGTGTCTGATTGTCGCTATTATCTCATCCAACCAATACCCCCGTTTGCGCCGCGGCTATTATTTTCCCAATTTCCCCTCTTTTCCCCTCTTATCTTTCCCTCCCTACTCTCTGTATTTCCTTTCTCTACCCTGAGGGGAGGTGGGAGTCTAGTCTGAACGATGCTGGATAGAATGGGAGAGTGATCACTGGATGTACAGACAGGGGTGGAATGCGCCGGACGGGTAGCTAGACTTGGAAGTAGCAATCTACTGGGTGACTGTACCTCTACTCGGTACTTGGGTACTTATCAACCTACCTAAAGACTAACTAATGTCCAGAGGGGAAATGAATATAAAGGATGTGGATCCAATGGAATGTGATTACATAAGGTGATGGGTTATTCTTAGACAGCACTAGCCGTATACGGACTAGCGTCCAAGGGATGACGGCTGAGTCAGCCATCGACGCCTGAGGAACAGTGACAGCCCCAAATAGGAACATTCCTGGGAAGTATGACATCTGATACATAGTTACTTGTATATTGAAAAGAAAGACAGCAGAAGTAAAGAAGAGGGACGAAGAAGAAAAGTAAGAATGAGAATCGTAAAGATAAGAAAGACAGTTTGATGAGCATCTGCAGGTCTCAGACTAGTCTCGGTCTGGCCTGATCGATTGGATTGTTTGTCTTTCTTTCTTCCTCCTCTTTTCCCTTCCAGTTCGCTTCCTCCTCCTCCTCTTCTTCTTCTCTTCTCTTTTTCTTCACTTTCTCCCCTCTTTCCATCGCCCCTCTTTTCTTTCTTTCTTTTCTAGTTCTTTTTCTTATTTTTTTTTTTTTCTTCCCGGATCTCGGATCTCGTCTTTCGTTCTCGTTGTCGTTCTCGAGCCTTCCCCTGAACGTCCCACTATCCAGTGTCATAATCCTAATCTAAGACTAACATCTAATTGCCTCGCACCTCCTCAATCCTCTGATCCTCTGATCCTCTGATCCTCCATACGATAACGATTGACCTCGACTTATCCACCGACCTTCACCTCCAACCTTCACCATGGACGATCATCTGAACTAATCCATTCTTCCCCGTCCATACTAGAGGGATCCGAGGGGAGACCGTGGATTGATTTCACCGTCGTTCTTGTACGTCAAGCGCCGTCCTCTCCGGATAATACTCCGGATGATACTCCGCATCATCCTCATCACACTAATAATACTAGTTATGTTGATGTCTTTCGCTTCGATTCGTTCTTGATTGTCGGCTCGCCTCCCGCTGACGTCCACTCCTTGTCCTTTGTCCGGTCCCCTCTTTCAGCCGACTTCGCTTCACTCTTCGTCTTGTTCGCCGTGTCGTGCAGGCAGACACCACACTCTTTGCTCTCCAGACGATGCCCCATCACGCTCCCAATCCGCGTCTATTCCAATTAATGCGGAGGAAACATCGGCGGTTTACCGCGGATGATCACGACCACGATCCGGACGGGCCCTTCGTCATGGCCCCCGCAGGAACCGTCGACCCGACCGACCCGACCTTGCTGGACAGACGCTGGGAGGACCCGGCCACGGTGATGGCTTCTGTGGTTGACTTGGTGGACCGCGCGTCCGCCGCGGGCACCCTCCCTGCCGGCACCCTTCCTGCTGGCACCCTCCCCACCAGCACCGATTTCCCGCCCCAAATTCCGACAGACCTTCCTGAGGAGCCGACGGATTCGCCGACGTGGCCCACCCCGACGATCAGTGTTGATGTCCCGGCGCCTACGCTGTCCGCCTCGGCTTCGTTGTCCCTCGATTCGACCACTTCCCTCCCTCTCTCCGCGCAGACCTCGCGGCCTCTCGTCAGTTCGACCGTCAGTCCGGCATCTTCTAGTATACGACCATCAAGCCTGAACGCCTCCACCGCTACGCCCGCTACATCTCTTCCCACGTCGGCCCCCGTGTCCACCACCACCACCACCACCAATACCGCCTCCCACAACTCATCCTCCACATCATCCACCACCTCCACATCCACCTCGAGCGACGACACCACGACCACCGCGTACGCGACCGAAACCGATGTGACCTACTGGGGCGGCGGGGGCACCGGCACCGCGGGGACGGGGTCGGCCCCGTCGTCTACCGCCCCTCCGTCCGCGGACGCCGGGCCCCCTGATAGCGGCAAGATCGCGGGGGGCGTCGTCGGCGGTGTGGCGGGGGCCATGATGGTGGTGTTCGTACTGCTGATACTGCTGAAGCGGTGGCGCAAGCTCGGTCTGCGGCCTGCAGACGAGGGCATGCTAGGGGAAGCGCCGCGGGAGACGATGCAGACGCGACGGCTGAGTCGGGAGCCGCTGTTCGCAGCAGCGACGCTAGCTCCCACATTCCTACGACCGTGGCGGGCATCGCGGCAGTCCACGATAACAGCGGAGACAACGCTGAGCAGCAGTCCCAGTGAACGGGGCTTCCAAAAGATCTCCGGCCGAAAGATCGAGTCCGTCCTACAGTCCGGCGGAGACGGCTACGACGGGCGATTCGGCCAGCAACAGCCCCCGCATTCCCCAACTTTATCAGAACCGAGCATGGGACTGGGCTCGTCGCCTGTACAGCCAAGGTCACCGATGTCAGCAGGGTCCATATCCCCATCGATACCCCCGCCCTCCATGCCCTTCGGCATGGCCCTGGACACGAGTTATACGAGGGAGGCGGAGGAACCGGGGATAATGGTGCTGCGGCCGTCCCCGGCGCGGACGAGGGCGCTGTGTCCGCGGGATGGGGTCGGACGGAGTCATCCCAGTTTTGATGGAAGCAAGGGGAGTCGATTTACGGAGAGTATTTAGCAGTTAGTTTATACCCTGTTTTATTTTATTTTATTATATAATGTTCATACCTTACTACTACTTACCCCGCACTTATATCCCTTGTGACACGACCAATTTATTTTTAGTACTGGTACGTGGCTACCTCTATCTACCTTTGTGTCTACCTTCGTATCTACCTCTACACAGATACAACAGATATACCAGATACAAAAGAATACAAAACCCATCCATGATCTAACAATCTATCCAACCCCCCAAAAAGGAAAGAAAAAAAGGATTAATGACTCCCCGGTTCCTCATAATCGGCGCCGGCTCCCGCGGCACAGCCTACGCCCAAGCCGTAACAACCTCCACCCCAGGAACCATCCACGCCGTGGCCGAACCCCACACTTTTAAAAGACAGCACCTCGGCCGGTCCTTCATCTGGGGCAACGGGAAGCCAAAACCAGGACAGGAGTTTCAGGATTGGAGGGAGTGGGTTGAGTACGAGACGTTACGGCGGGAGAGGGTTTCTCACGGACAGGCAGGGGGAGGGGGAGGGGGAGAGGGAGAGGGTGGGGAAGATGAGGAGAAAGGGGTAGACGGGGTGTTTGTATGCACACTTGATGAAACGCACGTCGAGATCCTGCTGGGAATAGCCCATTTGGGTGTTCATGTGCTGTGTGAGAAGCCGTTGGGGGTGGATTTGGAGGGGTGTCTCGATGTGTGGAGGGCTTACTCTTCCTCATCCACCACCTCCCCCTCCTCCTCCTCCTCTTCTTCTCCCCCCGAAAAGAAACAGAGAAAGCAAGGTCAAAAACAGATCTTCTCCATCGGGCACGTCCTCCGCTACAGCCCTCATAACCTGCTTCTTCGAAAGTTACTCCTCGACGATAATGTGATCGGGGACGTGGTCTCTCTTGAACACGTCGAGCCGGTCGGATGGTGGCACTTCTCACACTCGTATGTGAGGGGAAACTGGAGGAGGGAGACGAGTGGTGGGATCGGATCGCTGCTGACCAAGTCGTGCCACGATGTTGATTTTGTGATGTGGTTGCTTTCGTATCCTTCTTCTCTTTCTTCCCAAGGGGATGAAGAACAAGGAGAAGGAGAGGGGGAAGAGAGAGGGGATGCAGATATACACTACCCGTCGACAATAACCTCCACAGGGCATCTCTCCCAATTCCACCCCCGCCGCAAACCCGCCACGGCAGGGTCTCACACGAACTGTGTCACCTGCCCCACTGAAAGGGAGTGTCTATACAGCGCCGTCAAGATATACAGAGATATGCACCTTCGACAGGGCAAGACAGAGTGGCCGGTTAACATCGTGTGTCCTGATATCGAGGATTTCACCTCCCTTTCTTCTTCTTCTTCTTCTTCTCAGGAGAAGGATCAAGCGATGGCCAAGGCAGAGAACCGTCTCATGTCAGCCCTCCAAGAAGACTACGATGCCACCACCACCCCAGATGAAGTTATCGCCAGCCGACCCTGGTACGGACGGTGCGTCTACGAAGCCGATAACAACGTCTGCGACGACCAGGTGGTCACGATCTTATGGGATGAATCCCCCCCGTCCCCATCTTCCCCCTCCGCATCTACTCCCAAGAACGTGAAAGGGAGCAAAACAGCAACGATCCACATGGTCGCCCCCACGCAGGCGCAATGCGTCCGCCGCGGCCGCATCTACGGCACAACGGGCGAGCTGACCTACGACTCGTCGACCATATCGTACTTCGATTTCGCCAGCGGGGAGACAACATCCATCGCTGTCCCGCGCCAGTCCGAGGCGGAGGAAAAGGCGCACGGGGGTGGGGATTATGGGCTGGCGAGGGGGTTTGTGGGCGCTGTTGATGCTGTTGTTAGTGGGGGGATGGGGGTGGGGAGGGCGCAGAGGCGGTTTGTGGGGTGCTCGTTGAGGGAGATTATTGTGAGCCATGGGGTGGTTTTTGCGGCCGAGGGGGCGAGGAGGGATAGAGAGGTTGTTGGGTGGGAGGGGTGGTGGAGGGAGCAACTTGGTGGTATGTGATCTTGGGGCGGGGAGGTTGTCCATGGAGGTACTGGGTACGGAGTATGTTGTTTGTTCGGGGTGTCTCGGTTTAGTCTAGGTTATTTATCTTTCTGTGGAGTTGGGAATCTTGCAAGAATGTTATCTGGTGCTGTGCAGGTCATGTTATGGGCTCAAATGGCAAGGTTATGCTATGTAAGGAGAAGGAAGAGGAAGTTAAGTCCGCACATCAGGCTCCTCCCGTCCAACATACTCCCTGAACTTCAACAGCCCCATCGCCAACCGCACATTATCCCCCAGGTACTCCTGCGCACTCAACCCAAACGCGCTCTTATCCGCCTCATACTTCTCGATATACAACCGGATGGTGGCTCCACTGCTGCCCGTCCCGGACAAACGCACCACGATCCGGCTGCCGTCGTCGAACGTCGCGTACAGACCCTGGTTCTTGGTGACGCTCCCGTCCAGATCAGTGTAGGCAAAGTTGCCCACGTCCTTCACGGTCCGCCCCGCCACGGTGCTGCCCACGAACCCCTCCGGCTTCTCGACGTGGGCGGCCAGCTCGGCGATCACGCGGTTGGCGCCTGCGCTGTCGACGTTCTCGTAGTCGTACCGCGTGAAGAACGTCCGGCCGTAGGTCGCCCAGAAGTCTTCCTGGATGGAGGCGATGCTGGGCGTCTTGCCGGGGGTGTCCTGCGCGACGCTGGCGATGATGTTCAGCCACGCGACGATGGCCCACAGCCCGTCCTTCTCGCGGATGTGGTTGCTGCCCGTGCCGAAGCTCTCCTCGCCGCAGATGGACAGCTTCTGGTTGTCGAACAGGTTGCAGAAGAACTTCCACCCCGTGGGCACCTCGTAGCTCTGCAGCCCTTGCGCGGCCGCAACGCGGTCGACCGCCGCGGAGGTGGGCATGGACCGCGCGAGGCCGTAGACGCCCTGGCGCTGGAAGTAGGGGATGCGGCGCGCGTGGTGCGCGATGATGGCGAGCGAGTCGCCGGGCGAGACGAACGTGTTCGCGCCGTAGATCATGTTGCGGTCGCCGTCGCCGTCGCTGGCGGCGCCGAAGTGGACGCCGTCGCGGTTGACGGCCTCGACGAGCTCGTGGGCGTAGACCAGGTTCGGGTCGGGGTGGCCGCCGCCGAAGTCCTCGCTGGGCTGGGCGTTCATGACGCTGTTGGCGGGGAGGCCGAGCTCGTGCACGAAGATGTCGGTGCCGTAGGGGCCGGTCACGCCGTGCATGCCGTCGAAGAGGACCTTGAAGTCGGGGTGGGAGCGCAGGAAGGACTTGATGAGGTCGAAGTCGAAGATGTCTTTCATCATGGCGACGTAGTCGGCGGTGGAGGGGACGACCTCCACCGTGAGGGGGCCGTAGGTCCGCGTGCCGACGGTGGCGATGTCGACCGTGGGGAGCTCGGCATACTTGTATTCGGTGAGCGTCTTGGACGTGTCGTAGATAGCGTTGGTGACCGTCTCCGGGGCGGGAGCACCGTTCGCCAGGTTGTACTTGATGCCAAAGTCGTTCTCGGGGCCGCCCGGGTTGTGGCTGGCGGTCAGGAGGATACCGCCGGTGGCGGAGCGCTTGCGGATGAGGTTGCTGGCGGCCGGGGTGGAGAGGATGCCGTTCTGGCCGACGAGGAGCTTCTGGACGCCATAGGCGGCGCTGATCTTGGCGATTTTCTGGATGACGTCGGTGTTGTAGTAGCGGCCGTCACCGCCGATGACGAGGAAGGCATCTTGGGCGCCTTCGGGGATGGAGAGGAGGATGCTGGTGATGAAGGATTCGGCGTAGTTGGGTAGTTGGAAGGTCTTGACCTTTTTGCGGAGGCCCGAGCTATACAATGATCAATATGTTGAGCTGGTGGATAGGTGGATAGGTGGATAGGAGGGGGGAGGGGATACGTACGTGCCGGGCTTCTGGTCGGTGAAGGGCTGGAGGGAGACGGATTGGATGGACATGGTGATAGATTGGGATATGAGAAGATTCAAATTGAGAAGTTCAAATTGACAAGATGAGAAGAGAAGGGAAAAGGAGAGGGAGGAAAGAAGAGAGAGAAGAGGGAAGAGAGAAGAAGATATCAGGAGAAACAGGAAATGAAGGGGAGCAGAAAGTGGGGTAAAATGGATGGATGGACTCAATAGACCGTCGTCACTCTCTCTCACCTTACTGTTTTGGGTCTTCTCTTCTCTCTCTGTTTACTCTTGATTTACTGAGTAATTTGTCACATTGGGCACCCATCTCTCACCAGTCATATCTTATCATCTGCAGTACAGCATGCAATGCACGACTGCGTGGACAATATTACCCCTCCAATCTGGCCATAACCCATACCCATGCCCATCCCCCCTCCCAAACTCACTCCCCAGGAACAACTATCGCTTGAACAAAACCTCCCTATAAAACCTCGCCTCCTCAATACTCTCCAGTATATCATCCCTCGCCAAATGCACCTCCCTCTTCTCCGGGACCTGCCTTAACAGCTCCTCCCCACCCCACCTCCTAACCCCCTCCTTAAAACTACTCACATCCAGAATCCGGTAATGCAAATGCTCCAGCACCGCCTGATACGGGCCCCTCGCCAGGAACGCCCGGTCGGCGTGCACGCTGTTCCCTGCGAGCACGCCCCGGCGCGGCTCCGGGATGTATTGCTTGATGTAGGAGAGGAGGGCGGAGGCGGCTTGGTCGGGGGTGGTGGTGGAGGCGCGCACGGAGGCGGTGAGGCCGGTGCGGGCGTGGGTGGTGATGCACCATTCGTTCATGGAATTGAGGATTGTGTCGGGGACGTGGATTGTGGTGTCGAAGCCCGGGTGGAGGGGGGTCAGTTGGGCGTCGGTGATGATGCAGCTGATTTGGAGGATGTGGTCGGTAGAGGGGTCGAGGCCGGTCATCTATTTTGATTTTTTGTTATCATGGTGATTTGATGGAGGGTTTCCTGGGATTGTTGCATTGGGGGGGTACCTCGCAGTCGATCCACACCAGGGGATCGGAAGAGGGTGTGAGAGGCATGTTGATGGGATGGTGTCTACGTCGGGTTCACTGGGGGATGTAAATGTCGATGTAGATGGAGGATATGGAGGTGGTGAGGAAAAGATGGAGAAGAAAATAAGGAAAGTGGGGATCTTGGCAGCTACCAGCTACCAGCTACACCCCATAGATATATCTGCACTTGCGTCATTCATTGCTCTATAGATCATCCCGCCCAACCCCAATTCCTCCATCCCAGGATTGCCTTTGTAGTTCTAATCCCGGGACGCGCTCCGAGACGCCGTCCTGCATGTCTGATGTGACCCTGCGAGAAAACCCGACGAAAGAAACAACCAAGGCCAATTCGCACAATCAACAGAAAAAAGAGAAAAAGAAAGAAAAAAAAAATGGAGATAATAAGAGACACATTAACAGGCTAACATCATAGCTCCTCCTCGTCTTCGGCTGCCGGTGCGGGAGCGAGGGTCGGAGGCGGCGCGAGGGTGGGAGGCTGCGCGAGGGCCGGAGGATGCCCGAGAGCTGAAGGATGCGTCGCCGGGGTCGGCCCCCCGATCTGTTCGCCGGCCGTCGTCCCCGCCGGCATCCCACTGGCCGGCTGCGATAATCCGCCCTCGATCCGCCGCCGCAGCGCGTTCTCGTCCGCCTGGGAGACACTGGCCCGCTGTTTCTTCAGCGGACTGCCGACAAAGGCCCCGTCCAGCGTGGTCGCGGTCGGCTTGGGCACCTCGGGCACTGATGGGAGGCCCGTTGCGAGCGGAGGCGGTGTCGTCGTCGACGAATCTGTCGCCGGAGGAGGGTCCGCGGATGCTTGGGGGCTGGCTGCGTCGGTCTTGGGGCTGTTCACGCCTAAGGAGGCTGACGAATGCTGGCGTTTCAACTGGGGGGTTGTTAGTTCGACCAAAAAAATAGAAGATAGAATGGAAAAGGGAAAAGGAAAAGGGAAAAAGGAAGAAGGGACCAACCTTGATCTGTCGCAACCCCTCGGCCAATTCGCCCTGTCGACGGAGATCATCCGGGGACAAATGCCAATCGTCCTCCTTGGCCTCTTCGTCGTCCGCCTTGCCCAAGATCGACTCATCCTCATCATCGTCGCTGTCCATGTCGTCCGCCATGCTGCCCTTCCGGTTCTTACGCCCCGTCGCGGCCTCAGCGTTGTCGCGGAAGTTGAGGAAGCCGACCGTGCCGCCGGGTTTCAACGGGCCCAGGCTGCTGAAGTCAGGCTGCAACGAGCGGCGTTTGGCCGACGCCGGAGTCTCCTGCGGGCGGCCATCTTTCAGGATGCCCATCTTTTGCAATTGGCCTGTTATGATCAGCGATCTATCCATGACTGTATAATAATCAAAATAGACAAATAGAAAGAATACGTACGTCCGCCCCGGTACATAAAGGTAAAGATGGCATACGGCTTATCCGACGCGTCGATCCCCGTGACCGTTTGCGTGCTGATGGACTTGGGGTCGAGCGACTTGGGCTGAGCGAAACTGGTGGTGTGATCGATGTCGGCATCCCCCCCGCCAGATTGGCCGCCCGCCCCCTCGTCGTCGTCATCGTGGGCGTCGAACTGCGGCGAGTACTCCCCGCGCTTGATCTCCCCGGAGGCCAGCACCCGGAAGAGCGCGACCTTGATCTGCCCGGCCGACTCCGGAATCGGGTCGTCGTCCGAGTCGGAGAGAGATAGGTCCTCCTCATCCGAGACCCCCTCGAGGGGCGACCGGGCGTCGTTGCCGTAGCGCAGGACGTCCGGGGCGGAGGGAGACCCGGGCGCGCGGGCGCCGTGCTCCGCTGCCTCGCGCTTCCGCCGGCGCTTCTCCATCTTCTGGCGACGGCGCTCGATCGTGGCAGCGGCGTCCTTGCCCTCGAGGTCGAGCCCGTTGAGCCAGCGCTCGAGGCCGACCTCGCGGAAGAGGAACTCGCGCTCGGCGAGGCCGCCGCCCTCGGAGTCGGGCACGCTGACCCATCGGGAGTTGACCCAGGTCTCCTCCCCGCGGCGCAGCAAGGTAGCCACCTCCTCCTTCTGACGGCCATCAAAGTAGATGTAGGCGGCGACGGTCTCGTTGGGGGAGTTGGTCAGGGCCTGGTAGGGGACGACGGAGCTGGTGTACAGACCGCGCTCGGCGGTGGGGCCGGGGAGGCCGCCGACGACCTTGGGTTTGGGAGTGGGGTTGTCCGGGGTCGGTTTGGGGGCGGAATACGGGACATCCTGGCCGGGATTCAAGAGGGTGATAGAGATGGCGAAGGTGGACTGCTCACGCTTGCCGCCGGCGGCATCGGGGAGCTTGGGCGGGGGGACGGGAATGTAACAGGCGATGCGAGAGGCGCGGGATTGGCGCTGGATGGAATACTCGGGGATTGGGCCGTCGGGAGTGTGTATACTCACGGCCAAACCTTTGAAGCATGGCATGGCGGGAAGAGGGAGGACGGAGGGAGGGGAGGGGCGTCGACAACTCGAGGGTCGGGGGGGGGGGGGTGGAAAGGAATTCAAATCTATCCGCTCACACTGTGAGTCAACCGGTTAGTCGATGGTAGATCCAGAGAAAGAGAAAGGGGGAGAAAAAGGAACACAAACACGGTCGGAGAAGAGGGACAGGAGAGGTATAGAAAGGAGAAGAAAATAAGAAAAGAAGGAGAAGAAGGAAATCGAATGGAATGAAGGAAAAAGAAAAGGGGCTGGGAGGAGGTTGAGGTTGGCAAGTTTGCTGTGTTGTTGAGTTGTTGTGGTGGTGGTGGTGGTGGTTGTAGTGCTGTGTGTGTGTGTGTGTTGTGGAGGCGGTCAGGATGGATGCTTGACTGACCAGTATCAGGAGGAGAATCCAGGAGGACAGGATGAATGGGATAATGGAAGAATGACAACAGTCCTGGAGTCAGGAACAAGGGACGTCACACACAGAGAGACCAAGGACAGGAACCAGGTGGAAATTGTCAATTTGAGGAGATTCTGGGACGGTTCCGGTGGAAATATCAGGTGAACGAGAGGGGAGACAGAAGAGTGGGGGTGGAGAGAGAGAGGTACTAGTGAGGCCCATGGGTATCAGTCAGATGTCAATGACCACAGGATGGATAGACATACCTCAGACCACCGGAGGGAAGGAATTCAAGTGACCAGAAGACCAGCAATCACGAAGGGATGAGCAGAGAATGACGGACTGTCATGACTTTTCCATCCATCCATCTCTCTTTCTCTCATATCAGATCCATTTGCTGCCCCAGGTCCGATGAGTAAGCAGCCGCTCTCTCGTCCCACCATGACGTCCTCATCAAGTCCACCTCTGGTCCCCACATGGAGAGTTGTTCCATGGTCAGATAGATCTGGGGAATAGTTGTGTTTTCCTGTCTAGAGGGCTGTTCGTTCACATGTCCATCAGATGTATGGAGATGACCTGAGCGTCCGTGTCGGCACCGGTTCCTCCTAACGAGATCACGAAAGAGCCAGGGACTCCATCATGTCAGGCCGACCGAGAGAATGGCTTACTATATGTTATCGGTCGCGATCCCGTTAGTCGATAGTGGGTGGGGAGAGGATTGGAGGGCTCAATCGATCACCCAGTCTGTAGGTCCTTAAATTCAATCTGTTCTCGTAGCAACGGTATATACCGTTCTGCGGATCGTGTCGGTCAGGGTTCGGGTCCTTGGCCTCCGAGTCGTATAGATGTTGCGCCACGGTGTTACCGTGGCACTGGTGGAACCGCGCGGGGATCCCCGTTGGATTATGCCTGTCGCCGTTATTTGAGAGCGTTTAGAGACGTTTAGTGGACGTAGAGAGTGTAGAGAGTTTTGGATCGACATGATAAGAGACGCGGGTTGTCCTTCGGGAAGGGGGTCTTCCATCCCGACTGGCATGTCGGGATCTGTCCAGTGGCGAACCGACTCGGCATCGTCTCGGGTTCTGGTGTCGTTGTCATGCTGATCGATCGGTTGGCTGTTATTGATGATATCCGAACAGATTGTGCATATCTCTATCAGGTAGTCTGGTAGACTGTCACCGGACATCATCATGGAAATCTTTGTCGCGATCAATCATCCATGGTCGCCCTCAATGTTGTCTACCGAGGAGTACGATGTCGCAGGACAAGTTTGTCAACATTCTCTGGACTCGGAGACTCATGGAATATCAGGGTTCAAAGCAAGGGATCTTCCGATCGGCGGGGATCTCTCACGATGGGGCCGTGGGGCATCAACTTGCCAGTTGGCCAATAAACGGGGATCGACCGACGATCTGACGCCGGTCTTGGCTTGAGACATTTGAGTTTATAGAGGTTGATTTTCTGTAGATCTGTGATATTGGATGAACTGACCTGGAATTCTACGACCGAGGAAGAGTGTGGACAGGATGTACAAGTATATTGATTATGGCTATCTGCGGCTTGTGGCAGGCCGTCCATATCCAATTCTTTCAGCAGATCTATCTATATTGATTGATGGTGTTATATCGTCCTCGTTCCTGTCCCGTAATTTCTTCTTCATTCTGGCCGTATCTCAATGAAAAGCAGGAAAGATAGAAAGATCGTAGAATTATAGTACACGACAGTCCAGTCCACGAAAGCCTGCGAGAATGACTCATGATAGACGACAAGAAGGTCTGATCATAGCCATCAACGCCACCACTCATCTATTACTCGTACTTGAGATGAGCCCCGCTGCACGTTCAGACTGTGCTGGTCATTTCCATGATGGCCTGATAGAGATTGCCCCGCATTGATTGAATCCGACCACCACATGGAACCCCAAATCGGCATGTGACATGATACTCCTGGTCGACCAGTGTTCGTATAGTATCCAAACCCTGGTCCAGTCAGGTCAGGAGGGGTAAAGAGACAGATGACAGGGGAGGTTCCTGAGTTCCGGTCCAAACACTACATCCAGACCATTCACTGGTCGGTTCAGCGTGGCTAAGCCTCCCAGAGTTTTATTGGTGGCTCCACTTTCATCCTGATCAGTCAACCTGGAGAAAGCTGGGGAGATGGATCCACCTGGCTTGTCTAGGTCAAGGCTAGACTCTCTTTCCTAGTAGAGAGACAAGATGCAGAAGGATGCAGGATTGCATGACAGCTCCAGTCTAGTCTGGTGTTTAAGCTCGAGGTGAATATTCCCTGGTCAAAGACTATTAGCCATAATCACTAAGACTAATCTATGAAACTCGAGTGATTCGAACAAACAGAGTGAACCGGGATTAAATCACGCAGGGTTGATTTCCACACGGATACCAGCCTGATTGGTGGTGGAGACGTGTTCGAGAGTGAATCCATTCAATCATGCTGACGCTCTTGCCCATTTCTACCCTGGTTCCTTTTTTTTTCCCTTCTTTGTCTTTTCCCTTCCTTTTTCTTTCTTTTTCTTTCTTTCTTTCCTTTTTCTCTTCCTTCTACTTCTTTCCCTTCTTCCCCTCCTCATCCCCTTCCTCTCGATCGATCTCTTCCTTGCTTGTCTGGTTTCATATAAACACCCTCGACTCTAGCTCTCTCTCTCTCTCTCGGAATATTCTCGTCCTACCACACCATCTGAAATCTCACACCATGGCTGAAAAGGTGGGGAAGATCGAGGATGATCCCCCAATCCAGACTGAAAATCAGTATGTCATTCCACCTCTTCTTGATTGTTGATCTCTCACTGAAACTGATCTCTTTATCTAGGGTCACTGTCGAGGCGGTTCCTGATGACAAGCCCAAGGCGGAGCATATTAACCTGAACAAGAACCTTGAAGCCAAGTGAGTCTCTAATCCGGAATGTTCCATTTCTCACCCCACAACCCCGGTACTAACGCGACACAGGATCAAAAACCCCCTCGCTGATCTCACCCCCGCCGAGGTCCTGCGCGATGTTGAGGATTTTGCCAACGAGCATCAGCTCCAGGACATCCTTCCTCACTTGCGCAAGGGTGCCCTCATTGCTCGCGACCCCCAGAACTATGACAAAATCCCCGAGCTGGACGAGGATGACCTTCGGACCATCGACGACGAGGTCACCCACAAGTGGCGCCAGCCCCGCCAGCTCTACTTTACCATCATCCTCTGCTCCATTGGCGCGGCCGTCCAGTGAGTCTACCTCCATACCCTTCGTCCCGCGCACGTCACTAATCTCTCAACAGAGGCTGGGACCAGACCGGCAGCAACGGCGCCAACCTCTCCTTTCCCGATGCCCTGGGCATCCCCGAAAAGGATAACCCCAACGCCGAGAGGAACCAGTGGCTGGTCGGTCTCGTCAATGCGTATGTATCAACCATATCAATACCAAACAAAATACTGATCAATGAATAGAGGCCCTTACATCGCGAGTGCCTTCATCGGCTGTTGGCTCTCCGACCCCGTCAACAAGATCATAGGACGTCGCGGTGCCATCTTCGCCTCCGCCATCTTCTGTATTCTGACCCCCATCGGTTCGGCCGTCAGTCAGACCTGGCCTCAACTCTTTGTCACTCGTCTTCTCCTCGGTATCGGTATGGGTCTCAAGGCCTCCACCATCCCCATGTTCTGTGCCGAAAATACCCCCGCCATCATCCGTGGTGGTCTGGTCATGTGCTGGCAGGTAACGTCTCCCCGTCATAGATAAAATAGTACATGTACATGATTGCTGACAGAACACAGCTGTGGACCGCCTTTGGTATCTTCCTGGGCACCTCTGCCAATCTGGCTGTCAAGGACACCGGCGATATCTCCTGGCGTCTCCAGCTCGGATCGGCCTTCATCCCCGCCCTCCCCCTGCTCGTCGGCGTCTACTTCTGCCCCGAATCCCCCCGTTGGTACATCAAGAAGGGCTCCATGCGCAAGGCCTACGAGTCGCTCTGCCGCCTGCGCAACACGGAGCTTCAGGCCGCCCGGGACCTCTTCTCGATCTACTCGCAGATCCGCATCGAGCAGGAAATCGCCGGCAAGGGCTCGTACGCCCAGCGCTGCGTTGAATTGTTCACCATTCCCCGCGTCCGCCGCGCCACGCTGGCTTCGTTCGTCGTCATGCTGGCGCAGCAGATGTGCGGCATCAACATCGTCGCCTTCTACTCCTCGACCATCTTCCAGGAGGCCGGTGCCAGCGTCACCGAGGCCCTGTTCGCGTCGTGGGGATTTGGTCTGGTCAACTTCCTCTTCGCTTTCCCGGCCGTCTTCACCATCGACACCTACGGTCGCCGCGCCCTGCTGCTTTTTACTTTTCCCCAGATGGCCTGGACCCTACTGGCCGCCGGCTTCAGCTTCTACATTCCGGGCGACTCCAAGGCGCACCTGGGCTGTATCGCTCTCTTTGTGTTCCTCTTCGCCGCTTTCTATTCTCCTGGCGAGGGGCCTGTCCCGTACGCGTACTCGGCCGAGGTGTTTCCCCTTTCTCATCGTGGTATGTTCTCCCGCCACCTTTCTGCGCCGTCTCCACACTAATCATGAATAGAGGTCGGCATGGCCTGGGCAGTCGCTACCTGTC